AAAACAACTAGCCTTAATTGGTAAGACGAAACAAATCTTGTATCGATAGATTTTTGTTTTTGCTTTTTTTTTTTGGTTGTGGTGGCATTGTACATAACTTTCAGAAGATACATTAATATTAAATTAACAAGAGAATAGACATTCAGAAAGGCTTCAATTGTCTGCAGACAGTTTGGAATAGTTCTCCAGTACCTTCTTTATTTTATGTTGCAAAAATACTCCAGGGATATGCAATACAATTCTTACAAAGGTATTACCTTAGATTCTTACAAAGGTATTACCTTAGATTCTTACAAAGGTATTACCTTAGATTCTTACAAAGGTATTACCTTAGATTTAACAATCACGTAATAACATTAGTTCTGCTATTTTGCAATTATTTTTTACTGTTAGTTTTCAAAATGATCTTTCTTTTTGCGCAGAAAACGTCGGAAAGACTAACACTTTAAAATCTTCTACTGACAACTCCATTAACGATTAAATTGAATTATGAGACAATCTCGAAATCTAAAGATGATTGCACAAAATCCTTTCTCTTAGAATTGAAATTATTACTATTTTTGCCATCTCCCTTAAGCGGTAATGGACATGAGGCGATCATGGGCATACACAAATTTCATTTTCTTTATTATCTCGGAACTGTGAAGATTTTACTTGGGAATAATAGCGGAGTAGTTTCCAGTTGTCTTATACATGTTTTTGAATTCAACCTATTCTCTAATAATCTAACCAACTATAGACAAAAGAGAGGGCCCATGTCTTTTCTAAGGACATTTGTGCGAAAGTGAACGCAAAAGACTAGACCGGAATTTGAACTCAGTTCACCGATACTGCTTTCAGAATCGATAACCGTTACAATACCTGAACATAGAAATTGCATTCGGTGTGTAGAAAGCGTCCAGGATAAGACGATAAACTACGTCCAACAGCATGGACTCTGATAAGGATGTTTTGAGGAGCGTGGAACCCCCTCTTAATTGCTGGTGTTTCTAGGTCTACCCCGACCCGGGGTGGTAGCACCTGTTAGGGTTTGTTCTATGTTCAATTATGAACTTAATATTAGGAAATAAAAGTTTCATTCCTTGATATTTTAATATATTTTAATAAACACTTTCCTACTCCTCCTTCTCCTTCTTCTTCTTCTTCTTCTTCTTCTTCTTCTTCTTCTTCTTCTTCTTCTTCTCGTTTCCCTTCAAGATGTGGGCGATCATGACTATTCATAATTTCCTGTTCTTTGTAGCTCTTATTAAAATTTGTCTCTTTTCTATCTCTCCTAATCCCTGTTCGACCAACCATTTATACAAGCTCGTCAGGTAGGCGCTACTTTCCTGTGTCCTTGCTTTGAATATATCCTGTGAGTGTCAGTTTTCTAAGCCTCCTTTCCTCATGATGTGCCCTAGAAATGTCAACTGTCTCTGTCTTATATTAAGTATAAGTATCCTTTTTGTTTCCATTTACTCTAAAACTTCATCGTTGCTCACATGTTCAGTCTATGGTATTCTCAGCACCTTTCTGTAGAACTATATTCCTTTTGTCTCAAGTCTTCTCTTCAACCGTAAAGAGATTGTCCAGCATTCAGTGCCATACAAAAGGACTGATATCACATCACATTTCAGTACTTTTCTTTATTTCTAACGAAATTATCCTGTTTCTCAATACTTAGCTTAGCTTTTGGAAGACATTTTTCGTTATCCCAATCCGCCTTTCGGATTTTCCGTCCTTTCTAGATATTTAACCTTTTGTTGATTTTGTTGTCTCCAATTTGTAATCTGTATGATGGGCTGTCCTTTTTGCTAACAACCATAGATTATGTCTCCTTTACTACTCCAGTTTATTAGTCAGTCAGCTATTCGCTCAAATGCCATATGTGAAAAAAAAATGCAAATTACAAATCGGGGATACTAAAATCAAACAAGTACAGACATTTAAATATCTGGGAAGTGTTCTAACAACGGACGGAAAGTGCGACACTGAGACCCGAAGACGCATTGGGATGACCAAAGATGCATTCTAAAAGCTAAGCAGAGTATTAAGAGATAGAAACATTTCGTTAGAAACAAAGGAAAGAGTACTGAACTGTTACATGACATCTGTCCTGATGTATGGCAGCGAGTGCTGGGAAAATCTCCTCAAAGATGAAGAAGAGACTTGAAGAAACAGAAATATGGTTTTACAGAAAGATGCTGAAGATAACATGGACGGAACATGTGAGCAACGACGAGGTTTTAGAGAAAATGGAAACAAAAAGGAAACTTATACTTAACATCTAGAAGAGGCAATTGAAATTTCTACAGAAGGATGCTGAGAATACCATGGACGGAACATGTGAGCAACGACGAGGTTTTAGAGAAAATGGAAACAAAAAGGAAACTTATACTTAACATCTGGAAGAGGCAATTGAAATTTCTACAGAAGGATGCTGAGAATACCATGGACGGAACATGTGAGCAACGACGAGGTTTTAGAGAAAATGGAAACAAAAAGGAAACTTATACTTAACATCTAGAAGAGGTAGTTGAAATTTCTGGGTCACGTAATGAGAAAGGAGGGTTTGGAAAACCTGATACTCACAGGACAGATTGTGGAAAAGAGGGACAGAGGAAAATAGCGCGTAATTTAATTGATGAGCTTGAGTAAATAGATGGATGAACAGGGTTCGGGATAAACGAGAAATAGACAAAACGTATTAAGTGCTACAAGGTACAGGTAGATGTGGAGGGCCATGATCGCCTACGTCCTGAAGGGACACGGCACATAAAAGTGGAAGAAGATACTCGCTTGGGCAGTCGTGTCAATTTCGATTTATAAATGAATAGATTTTACCGAAGTAAGTTATCGTTTCTTTCTGCGGTAGACTGCTTTACAACCAAGTCGATAGGGTCCAGTCTGTCCTGCTATTTAACCCGTATACGGGGAGAGAAGGATATTTGCACCTAAGGGAATATAACAAATCTGACTGGAGCTGGAATTCGAAGCAGATCCCCGTGTAAAAAAAGAACTAAAAGCAAAATTCATGTCTTCTCAATTACATAAGTAAATGTTCTCATAGGTATTAAATAGCTCTAATAAAAACCGAGCAAGAAAATATTTCTTTTTCACATATATTATTTTATGATAAATAATTGATGTGAAATATCCGACAAAGTCTATAAAAATAAATGGATTCTAGGAAACAAGCTCCAAAGAAGCCGCTAGGAACCTCTAGTGTCTTTACGATAAAAGATTACTAGAGGCTCCTTGTAGTTTCATTCCTAGTGAAAATACTGCGAGCAAAGTAGAAGGATTTTGTTAGCAATGAAGAAATAGAGATCGAACTCATGAGTATGTCAGGCAGTGATTTCCAGCGAAACGGACAGAAGCGACATCACAAATATGACGGTACTTTTTAAATCATTATTATTAGGAAGTTGTTTTCATATATAAATATTTCAATAAACGGGTTCTAGAAATATTCGCCGTAGGAAAATTCGCCTCAAGAATTTACGCTATAGAAAATTTTGCCGTATAGGATTTTTGCCGTAAGCCAATTTCACTGAATTTTTTTTAATATGCGAAGTAACTTGTTATCAAATATATCTGGCTCACACTATTGTTATTTCGATTTAAACATTTTAAAGCGAAGTTATAGGATCAAAATCTTACACCATTCATCCTCGTCAGTGAGGAGCGGAAAAATTTCAAATTAACACCGGAACCTACGTCACGCAATTTCAGATTTCAGACTTAACCTTAAACTTTCTGTTATCAGTCCGCCAATAATTCTCACTCAAGCAATATACAAGTATACCTCACCCTACGTCATTAATTGCTTTCAGAGGTCACGACTTAGATCGAAAAATGACTTAAGACGAAATAACCACACTATAAACTTCAAATAAACCGCATTCCCACATTGCATCTTAAAGTATTTATTATATCTACGTACAATATTCTGAATAAAAAAATTATCAGAGATATAGCCTTACGCTTAGCATCTGCAATAAAAGAAAGCTCTGACAATTTTTTCTAATATAATCCAGTTTCGTCAACGTTAAAAATCTGTTCAGGAAGAAACCCGTTTTCTTCGATGATTTTAGCAATGCTTTTGGAAAATCGTCTGATGCTTGTTCGTCAGCTGATGCACTTTCACCTTGCTTCTTAATAGAGTCATAACGTCTTCGTTTTTTAAATCTCATAAACCAGCCTTGACTCGCTTTAAACTCTATAGCTTTCTCATCTGGGTATTTTTTGTACAGGTCCTCAAAGACAACGCTTTCGCTTGAATGTTTTTTTTTTTTTTTTTTTTTTTTTACTAATAGCAACTGATGATTCAATCTATCAATCCAATAAGAAAGAATTTCCATCTCTTCAAAGATTTTTTCCTCTTTTCTTATTGTTAACAGTATTCTTCATCCCCGGGGGCATCAGATTTAATATGTGCCAGAATCTTATCCTTATTGTGAACAATCGTCGATACAGCTGCCCGACTCATTCCAAAAGATTGAGCAATCAATATAACATTTTTTAGTGATATTCCGACTTCAATATTTGGGGCGGACTGACGTAAAGTCGAATAAAATGACTTAAACTTGATTTTTATTTTTCCATACATTTTTTGACAAACGACGTATAATCGAGAACGACTTAACTTGAAACGAAGTAATCCGAGGTATACATGTATATTACTTCAAACAAACTTACAACTTGAATACGCAACTACGTTTAATATAAAATATCTGATCAAAATTGTTTCACCCTGTAAAAAAAAAGACATCCATATATACTTGATGAGAAGGTACTTCGCATATTAAATTGAACATTACTCCAAAACGGACGTTTAAAATAAGTGTATCGAAAAAAATAATACGGCGAAATTGTCTTACGGGAAAAATCCTATACGGCGAAATTTCTTATGGCGAAAATTACTGAGGGAATTTTCCTACGGCAAAAATGTTTACGGCGAATGTTCCGCATACGCAAATAACTGACTCGGGTAATTTGACATCATTACAGCAGTCAGCATGTCTGATATGTTATTGGCTTGTCTCAATACTTTCTTCTATTTTAAAGATCTACCAACAAGTTGCATCGATGCACAGAGAAAGAACATTCCACCAGGTGAGACCTTCATCCAACCGAGTAAATCCGTCGACCCTTTCTTCGTCTATTGCGATGCAAATATGGTTCCGGGAACAGGTATGTGTTCAGCCATCTTATTTCTGTCATAGTAATTCCTCGGTTATCCGGACACCTTGAGATAGGAGTTGAAAAATTATGTTTGGCTAATTCAAAATTCCGTATAACTGAATACTTAAAAAAAGTATTAAAAATCATTTTTTGAAAGAAAATTAACATTTATATCATCAAATAAAAATTTCAAGACTTTGTACAGTTTATTTTTATAAAAGAATGCGTCATTGTTTGTCTGTTTCTGACACTAACTCCCAAACCTGGATTAAAGTCGACGCATGCTGTACGGGTAACTTAGGGTTGAAAGAGCAACCGATTTAAATATTTGTCAAATAATAATTACTTTGTTTTGACCACTTCGACGTGGCATAATGGTTAGCAAGCTAACTTGATCAATTACAACTGAGTAATGAGTTCGATACTCACTGGGTGCTTGACACTTTCGGTCTCGTTCCACACCTAAGCTAGGCTTAGGAAAAAGTGAGCCCTACGACGTGCCGAAATGGTTAACAAGCTAAACTCGCTTGTACAATTACGATTGAGTAGTGAGTTTGATCCTCACTGGGAGCTCCACACTTTTGGCCTCGTGCCACACCTAAGCTAGGCTTAGAAAAAGTGAGACCTCCGACGTGGTGAAATGGTTAGCAAGCTTGACTCACTTGATCTATTACGACTGAATAATGAATTCAATGCTGATTAGTTGAGCCATGATTTCGCTCTTGTGCCCCACCTAAGCTACGCCTAGAAGATCACCAATAATTGCTTTAGTGTTTGAAATTGGCCATTGAATCCCTTGAACTTTAATATGGACAATATAATTATCATCTTCCTTCTCATCAACATTTTTCGGTATGGGTATAAATTTAAAAATACTCTGGTCACTTCGCTGTTCATATCCAGGACCGTCTGCATTTGTTTCGGCTTCATTTATATCGATTTTAAACGCTACAGATTGCTCATTAAAATCTTTCCTTCGTCGTTTAGATAATGGAAAAACGTTCGGATGAATTCATTTTTTAACTCTTCATTTCACGGATAATCGGAATCTGGAAAATCGAGGCACGGATAATCGAGGAAGTGCTGTGTTGTGAATGCTTACGAAAACTTGATACAAGACCTCGTTATCGAGATCGAATCTTTTGTTAATTTTTAAATTGTACGATCAGTACTTGATCTTGTTTTTAAGAATTTCTTCTGTTAAAAATCTTTCCATTCATTTGGCTATTGTTTCCTTTGTCAGTCGTGACCATCATTGGAAATATTCAAGAAGAAACAACTGATTTCGACAACGACATTACAATCACGTATCACAATGTGACATTTGTGCAGATCGAAGCCCTCATTAATATTATGGATAATTGCTACCAACCAGTGCGATTTGATTGCTTCAAAACCATGGTAGGTACAAATAATTTACAAAGTTACTAAGTTCTTATGTTCAACCAATCCTTACAGTGTATATCAGTAATGTAGTCATATGCCAAAGGCGATAACGTGTCAGTAGGTCATGTTCAGGAAAAAATCTTTAAAGTAATTGCAAATTATTGCAAAAGCACATTAGCGATAACCGAAAACCTTACTCTATATAAAAATCAAGCTAGACTTGCAGTTGAACTTAAGAAATCACAGTAGTGAAAATATGGTACATGATTGTAGCAAGTATTTACTCTCTCCCCCCACTAGGACGAGATGTGACACAAAGTCTGTTTTTAAGTGGGGACCCGAGCGCGTACACCCGGGACAGGAACAAGCATTCCCCTCAGCCACCGCAACCGACGGTTGCGCTTGCCTCAGTGTGAGCACCGATCCTTCCCTCTGGTGCAATGGGAGGGCGCGGCCTCGAGCAGCTGTTCCCTAGGGCTGGGCACCTCTTCAGTATTATTTTCTCAGTTGCCTCTCTGTCCTTTGACAGAGAACCCCCTGAGCACACTCTGCCCAAAGACAGAGACGCAATTGACCCCTCGCTCAAAAGGGGTGGTACATGATTGTAGTAAGAAAAAATTACAAGAGGAAAAAAGTATAAAACATGGGTCATGGTTATATTTTGGTGGGGCGTGCGTAGCATGAATTGTTTTATAGTGAGTCTGAGTGAGAGTGTTAATGTTAATGCGCGTCAATACGTACGATGCATATACAGTATGCATACATAAAACTATTTTTTGCGTGTGTACGTACATGTGTAATTGGCATATTGGGTATTTCCCGTCTCTCCACACTCGCGTGTCTAGGTCAACAAAGAAGAGGGCGTGATGCATGTCGCTGGAAGAGCTCATGTTTTGTCGGCCAATCAGCGCGTTTGGGCATTCATTTTGCTTCCTTCACGTGAATTGCAGTAAAATTTCATTTTGCATTATTAAAATGATCAAAGTATATTACAGAATAAACGTTCATTCAAGTATTTTATATTTCTGCCTTTCATTTCTCTATTATTTGTTTTGAAACTATATATATTTAACTGCCTTTTTGATTTTTTTTTTCATTTTTCTCTTTCATGGACGCCAAGGTCTTTGGAGGTTTGTTTAGGGACCAAGTTAATGGTCTGTTAAGTTTCCTTCACGTGAACTACAGTAAAATTTTGAATATGTAAGAATTGAATATTACAGAGGCGGGCATCAGAATTTTAGAAATACCAAAGTGGGACATGGCCCCCAAATCGATTGGGAACGAATTGAATAGTCGAATAGAGTGTTTGAAGCAGACTTAGGTCTGGTGGATGAACAAATACTAATGAATATCATGTCACCGATACTCTTATGATAATTATATTTACAGTATTGATAGTAAATTTGGTTCAAAAGTCAGTTTATGAACAGGTAAATTATAGTTCAAAATACGGTTTAAAACTGAATCTAAGAATCCTCCATTCTTATCGCAGAAGACGCAAGAAGTACAATTATCTAAGTCATATAGAATTTTTTTTAAAAAAGCTGTCTTAATTTAAGAAACCAGAATATTATCTATTTTTTTTATCTATATTTTAAGGCGGATAGTAATATTAGGTGCATTTTCATTTCGGCACGGCATATTCAGGAAAAAAGATTTTAGCTTATTTAAGTATATAATGTTTAAAGCAATGCAAATCATTGTAAAAGCACTTTAATGATGACCAAAAACATTACTGTATATAAAAATCAAGTTACCAGTGCAGCTGAACTTAGGAAATTACAACAGTGAAAATATCGTACATGATAGCAGGAATAAAACATTACAAAAGAAAAAGAAAGCAGAAAATTAAAAAAAAAGACAATTTTGTCATGAAGTATTTTTTAAATTTTTTAATTAATTACTTTATTTATTTTATTTATTTATTTTTTAATTTTTTTTAGGTATATCTCTTCTAGTTTGCGACTATTTAATAATAGTGTGTTTGAGACAAAGTCTGTTGGATGAGTAGGTACTAATAAATATTATGGCACTGGTACTCTGTTATATTTCCATTTACAGTACTGATGGTAATACTAATAGTTGAATAAATTTTATGCCTGGCAAGGCAAAAGTGAGCATCCAAATTTAAATTATAGCCTGTGATACAGAGAGGCCTCAACGTTGCATTCATACACAGTGAGGGAGATATTCATTTATTTATGTTTTTTGTAATACTACATCATAGATATTATTACATACTGTGTATGTATAACATTACTAAAGACAAAAAGTCTGTAGAGGTGATACAGAAAAAACCTTAGAAAGATATTAAATTATTATAAGTTATAACCACAAAATTTTCTTTGATAGAAAAACATTACAAGAGAAAAAAGGAGGCAGAAAACATTTTATGAAAAACAATTTTGTCATGGTTTGTATTTTCTTTCAGGTATGTTTCTAAATTAAGGTATGTCTCTAAATTAAGGTATGCTAAATTATAATTGGTTGTTGGCAAATTTAGAGTTCTTCAGTTCGGTTTCAATTTTCTTACATATTTGTTTTAAACGTCAGTTGATAATCAGGTAAATTACAGTTCCAAATCCGCCTTAAAAAATGAACCTTCAAGTTCTTCAATCTGATGGCGACAGATGCAAGTGGCGTTGGACCCCAGTGTGGTGCTTGATTAGAGAAGTATAATTATTTAAATCATACAGGATTATCTATCATTTTTAAAAAGCTGTCTTAATTTTAAGGACCCGAAATATCTCAATTCTGTTTAATATGCCAAATCTGATAACAAAAGACAGATGTCAATGTTACCGGCATTTATATTTCAGCACAGCGTATTTAAGAAAAACAGATTTGAACATAATTAAGTACGTAATGTTTAAAGAAATTGAAACACATTGCAAAAGCCCTTTAGCGGTAACCGAAAACCTTACTGTATATAAAAAGACAGTTGAGAGTAGAGCTAAATTTAAGAAATTACAACATGATAACAAGAATAAAATATTACACGAGAAAAAGAAAGCAGAAGGCATTTTTATAAAAAGCAATTTTACCATGACTGATATTTCCATTCAAGTATATTTTTGTGTCTGCATTTTGAGTTGCGTTGTGATTGTTTATTTAGTAATTTGTTTTGTTGTGGGAAAATAATTATAGCTGTTTTCTCCTCCAGACAGAGATTACTGTTTTTGGATTTATTGTTGTATGCTGGTGCTGTTTTCCTTATTTTCCATGATAATTTTGGTGTGATTTGGTTTTTGTTTTAAATTTCCCATATATGCTTAGAAAGCATTGTGCTGTTCGCATATTTACTATTTATAAAGAATGTTTTTCAGTTACTCCTATGTATATATGAAAATATACATAGGAGTAACTGAAGTTCTCTGGAAACAAAGAAACTTTATCTGGAGGAGTAAATAGGGGTATAATTACCTCCCCAGTATAGCATAATATATAATATACGTAATTTTATACTTTCAAAATAAACGCATGTTCTTTTTTAGATATATAGTTTGTAGATCTATAAAATGTAATGTTGGTAATTAAAGAAATATATATAAGTGGTAATTTTTCTACAAAAATGTATTGTTGATTTTTATAAAAATTCATTGCTCTTAATTTCACTATAAAAATATTTTTTATATCTTTTTAGTGTTTTATTGTCAGTCATTTTACTATAAAAATATATTATTGGTAATTTTATTATAAAAATGTACTGTTGATAGGTGTTCAATATTTGGCCATAGCTGAGATCTTAAGTGTTCCTATCACCTGGGTCAGGTTGAACCTAGAAACAACAGAAGTTAAGAGACGGTTCAACGCTCCTCAAAACCTCTAATCTCCAGATCAGAGGCCTTGCTTCCGGATGCAGTTTATCGTCATGCCCAGGACGGCCAGGCTACAGAGTTATTGTTTGACTCTTGTATAACCCTGCCTCATTTTCTCATTTTCAAAAGTCTCTTTGTATGTTTTTTTTTAGTTTGTCGGGACAGCCGGTGCGTACTGGTTTGGTAAGCAGAATAAAATGAACCAATATTTTGGGAGCAGCGACAACATCCACAAGATGTGCACGTGTGGCATGGAGAGGCTGTGTGGTGGTCGTGGAGGCAAAACCAAAATGATGCAAAGGTTAGATCTTTTCAGAATTCCTCGTCGAATGTCTCCATCATTTTCGATTTTCTTTTGTTTCATTTTAACAACATTAAGAGTTATACGAGCCCAGCATCGTCTGCGCTAATCCGTTGTATCCTAATTGCCTAACATTTAGACCAAGGAAGGCGATAAAGTCACTAAGACGCAAGGAGTTACTGAGTGTTATAAAATATACTATTAAGGAAAGGAGAAAATAGCAGAACAAGAATTGAAAAAACAAAAGATAAAGATTGACACTGCATTTAATTTTTTAAAGATCAAAACTGACTGAGAAGGAAGAAGCCGGATGAGAGTTACACAACAGAGAAGTGCGATAGAAACTGTTAGCATAGAACTTACAGTTATATCTCGCCATTTCAGCTACTTGTATGTCTTGTAAATATCCACGCGCAATGATACGACTCAGTGTTTTCCATGACTGTCCCTGTAAAATCTGGAAGATTTTATTTTTTCGAATCAGCTATAAATAAATACGTTCACATTCCATCATTACATTGATCAATAATTTTCTTTTTTGTTCAAATGCAATGGAGAGAATCTGCTATATTGAACGAATCAGAAACTCTTGCAATCCGAATAAAAAAAAAATAAGATTAAAAAACGGTTGCCATTGTTATATTTTAATTCCGTTTTTTTTTTTCTCCCCAGAGCCTGTAACTGTGACAATGCCGATAAAGTCTGGCGACGTGATGGCGGTATTCTCTCTCAGAAGAGTGACCTCCCATTACGTAGGTTGAAGGTCCCGGTAGTACCCAATGCGAAAATGGCTTTGAAAGTCGGAAAACTATACTGCGCTGACAGACCATTCGGTAAGTAAAAAAAAAAAAAAAAATGATATAAACCTTTTCCCATAATTTATGTGCTGGTTCAATGAGTTTATCCTAAATGATAATATTGCCAATTTTAATATTAGCCGTTTCCTTATAAGGAAACATTCAGTAATCATTAACCTAACAGCCATTGTTAACGTTGATTGAAATTTATAAAAAAAAAACTTTCTATTTAAAAAATGTTTTTCAGGAAAACAGGTTTCTCAAGTACAACTCAACTGTTATTGACCTTTACATTCAGTACAGTTCCTTGTGATTCTGTAGCGCCATTTACGAGGTCCGAAGAAGTATGTTCCTTACTAAGACCTACATGTTTCATCCGTGCGAAGTCATTTTTCATCATTGACCCGATTGATTAATTTTCTACGGATTATCAGCCCTTTGCAGGTTATTTAAAGCCAGGACATATTTTTTAGATTGTAAGAATTTATTCTTTTAGATAATAAAGGTTTTGTGATAGAAGTCTTACTAATTAACTCATAGGGAGGAGGAAAGACGTGGTATTTGTACATAATTGAATATAATGAAGCCAACAGAAATTGTAACTCGGATTGACAATTCCGAGCTATTATCCCTTACACCACCCACACATTCAAACCTACAACACCAAGCGGTCACCCATATAGGTATTGACCAGGGTCAACATTGCTTAACTTCGATGATAATACTGGAAACGATGTTTCAATGTGATGTGGCCGTATGCCTCATTGTTCTGAGAAAGCTGTTGTATATAGCTGAGAGATTGGATCAGTGCGCCGTGCGATCCTCTTAAGTGTGCTGCGAAACATTGTCACGGCGTCCATATAAAGGGTGCGATGGGTAAATTGTCGGCATTTTATATTTTTAATTTCGCGCATGCGCGTTGTTTGTTTTTGATTTTATCGACTGCACAGTTTGGCACCGTCTGGCAGAAAAAGAGCGCCATGACGCAAATCAAGCTGACAGAAATTTTGAAACGGCATGCTGTACTTATTGGCACTCGCACCGGAAGCTCCAATATGGTTGTTTCAGAGTGTTTGGTTATCAATCTGAGGACAGTTCAGAGGATTTGGAAAGATTTTTCAGGAAAATAGGTTTCTCAAGTCCAGTAGCTGTTATCGCTCTTTTCAGTATAGATGGATACAACCATCCTAACCTTTTCAGGAAAATATGTTTCTCAAGTTCAAAAGTTGTTATCGCTCTTTCCAGTATTGATGAGGGATTTTTTTTAATTAAAATTTGAAGTAGTTTAGAATGTTAACATTTTCATTATTTTCTCTTCCAAATACATGATGTATATTGTGCGATTTATTCACTCTGGTATCTCCATAACTGTTATTATAATCGAAAAGTATATATACGTCTGTATATTCTTCAGCCTTCCCCATATGATATGAATTCCGAGAGGATTTATTATGTATTTTCTTCAAAATATTCGTTCTATTACCCCCATAATTGTTACTTTAATCACAGCGTGTTAGCCGGAGAATTCCGCGGCCCGCTTCGCATTGTCTAAATTCTAAGACGTTGGAACAATCATAATCTGCGAATTATTCGCTTTACTATCTCCATACTTGTTATTTTGATCCCTATGTATATGTTGGCAGATTCTTCTTTACATAATGTCTTAGGTTCTAGCATACGCATTATTCACTAAATTATTCGGTTGCTATTGGTGCCAGGGAAAAAACATACTTCAAATCATAATGTCATAAAAAAGAAAACAAGTATTGGCAAATATTGCAAAGCCCACCAATAAAGATAAGGAATGGATATAATCCAGAGAAATTACCACAAATAAAAAACAGATAAAATGAGAAAATGAATTATAATTTTTTCCCGGTACTATTCTTAGATTTAACATTAAACCTTTAGTCATTGACTAAAGTAATTTAGTCACTGATAATAGTCAAACTGTTCGAAAGATTTGTGTGCTAAAATTTATTTAGTATAATTTAAAATGGATTAAATTACTGAACAAATCTATATAATACTAAAACACTATTCTTGTATGTATGTATATATAATACCCCAGCAAATTTAAGAGCATACTGTATCTTGACGCCCTACCGAGTCTAGTGTAAAATTAGACAAGGGGCTCTTGAGCTAGGACCGTTTTTTTCTGCTTTTAGGTTATTTTTAATAGGAAATTCAGTATTTGTTTTTGACACACATTCTCATATCAATCCGTGTATATAAACAAACGCTTGCATATTATATTCCAACTATTAGGTATGTGAACAATAATAAACATTGATAATACATAATAGCAACACTATTAAACAAATTTAAATATAGAGTACGCAAGATATATTTCTACAATTCCCTACACTATATTAGTAAATGTTTTGGCAAATATTTGATAGGTGAAGAGGTTGTATGGGTGTGTCATTGTAAAACGTTATCTATATGGTTGAAAAATCGTGCCAAATGACTTGATGGTAAATACATAAATAGATGCACGCTGGTTTCGTCTTTTGAAATAAATGTAAAGGAGAAACAAATATGTATAATAATAACATAAGTATTACTTTGAAAAAAAATATCTAGAAAAAAATAAAACTAAGTGCACAAAAAGAAGGTATTCATATTTAATTTCAATAAATATGAATCGCCCTAAGCATCCGATTGCCTTTTTTGAATGACCTTCTCCTTTGAAAATTATAATATGGCAAATGCTAAAACTGGTATAAATTTTTACTCTATAGATACCATTACTTGAATGGAAAGTCCTCTGTAGCGTGATATTAGTTTGCAATTCTATTTTTTTCCGTTTGATTTAAATAATATGGTATAATGAGTGCTACCGTTGAGGCAAAATATGTGTATATATATATATAGATATATAGATAGATAGATACCAAGTAGGTCTTTTTAATAAAGAAATATTAAAAAGATAGATCGATATCCGGTCTGATGAAGCAGGTATTAAAAACTTATCTGCTGAAATAAATTTATTATTGGATTTTTCGAGATGTGTTAAGTTCTTGCCTCTGGTAAATATATATATATATATATAAGCAAGTGTAAATGGATATAAATCCGACAGAATGAAGAAATTTTGAAAAAACAAACAAAAATCCTTAAATGTAGTTAAATGAAAGAAATGTCGACGTCTGACGTTTCGGTTTTTTATGTCCATCGTATTTGTCATATTGAACTGAATTGTATTTTGATGAATATTGTCTTGAAAAGGTTTAATAAACCGAAACGTCAGACGTCGACATTTCTTTCATTTAACTATATTTTGTTTGTTTTTCAAAATATATATATATATATATATATATATATATATATATATATATATATATATGTGTGTGTGTGTGTGTGTGTGTGCGTGCGCATATGTGTGTGTGTAAAATTTATAAATGTGGGCAATGAGGTCAAAACCGAGCGGCAAAAGGTGAATGCAATCTTCGTTTCATGCCTGAACATTGATTCTCAGCTTGAAACAAACTGTCGCCGCCTCGTGTTGACCCCAATTCCCACTTTTATATTTAAATACACCCTATCTCTGATATTGTCACTTCTACCCGTAAATACCGTATAACTTAAAACTATATATATATATATATAGATAGATAGATAGATAGATAGATAGATAGACGAGGCGTGATCAGAAAGTATCGGAAAAGTTACGTTACCGGAGCTAAAGTACACGGAATGGAGCCGTTTGGCAAAGATCGGCTATGAACTCTGGTTATGAACTCTGTTATAACGTTCCCGTTCACTTCCGCCGTTTATAGCAGTGCTTGGAAGGAAAGTGTGTAGAAGATGCTCGTCTCAACGTGCCACAGATGTTCTATCAGTGACCATGACTAGCAGCTTTTATGTAAGGACAAAATTCCACATGCCGGCCAACAATCATATTTTCTAAATCCTGGGTGGCCTGACTATTGCATCTAGCATGGAAGAGATTGTCGCCTGAACATAGAAGTCAACACTTAAACTTCTATGTTCACTTTTATATTTACACACGCTCTACACATGCTCTATCCCTGATATTGAGCACTTTATCCCATAAATATAGCAAATCTTAAGACTATATTTCTTCATATATATATATATAACCAAAACATTTTGAAATTGCTACACAAATGCTTTCTTGCTTTAATACTATAACTGTATTTCTTCAGGCCATCGCTGAAGAAGTACAATCCTATTATCGCAGAAAAAAGTAGTCATAGCGTTGAAACATGAAAGCTTTTGTGTCGCGTTTTCAAAATGTTTTCATTATAATCTCTTATAATATATATATATATATATATATATATATATATATATATATATATATATATATATATATGGCTAGTGTCATATTCATGGACAAGCTTTTTGGTGTCATTATTAAAGGAAGAGAATGTATCACCGTTTAGTCTTCCATTCATAATGACACCAAAAAGCTTCTCTGTGAATATGAATGTATGCAATTGAAAATAAGTAGACAAAACTTGTCTAAATTATTCAATGAAACATGTCTCAAAGAGAACATCCTGCCAAAATATAGGCAACACACACACACACACACACACACATATATATATATATATATATATATATATATCCTGGTGGCCTGACGATTGCATCTAGCTTGAAACAGACTGTCGCCTGTAAGTGTTGACTTCTATGTTGACTTTTATATTTACACACGCTCTGTCTCTGATATTGAGCACTTTATCCCATAAATATAGCATAAGAATATATTTTTGTCATATATATATATATATATATATATATATATATATATATATATAGATAGAGAGAGAGAGAGAGAGAGAGAGAGAGAGATGTGGGGATGAATTATTGAATCATCACCCTAATGAAAAAATATTTTTCAACATGTTTTACTTGCATCATTTACATTACTCGGACTCTTATCCTTATCTTCATTGCCATATTTACAACGCTTCGGCCTCTATATCTCTGAGATGAGGTATTACTTGCATTATTTACATTATTCGGACTGTCATCGTCATCTTCATTGCCATATTTACCACGTTTCATTCTTCAGGAATTGAAATTTCAAACCGAACCCGTTAACCGAACCAGGATAGATTGTTCTAGTTTCACGTACCATGCCTCTTCCGGATGACTCAGTTACTTCTTTTCTTTAACTCAGCTCTCTAAGTATTTTGGTTCATCATTGCTATAGCCTGGTATTGAACTCACAACTGTTCGGGTCTAGTCACTGGATCTAACCAACGCCTTTATCCACTGAGGCATCTGTGCATAACATTCTGGGACTTAATAACCTAATGTCGAAAGTCCAATCACCTGAAGAAGGCCGAGACGTACAACGGTCGAAACTTTGAGAATATTCAGTGAAGATGAGGATAACAGTCCGAATAATATAAATAACCATAATACCTCATCTCAGAGATATAGACAGATATTTTTTACTTCTTTTCTTAACGAGCTTAGTTAAGAGGTTCAGGTTTAATAGATTAGATATTAGCGAAGAGTTTAGATAAAATTTCAGCTTATATTTGTGTCAGGCCACGTACTTATTGATCCCTTCTCCTATAATTGAAGATTGCTGCCCAAGGGAGCATTTTTTACATTGTTCGTTCATTAACTTCACAAGAACTAATCAATAGTTTTGTACTGTTCGATTCCTTTTTTCTTTTTAGCTTCTGCCGCTCTCTGAATTTGTAGGATAAATACAAGTTAATCGAAGGTCGATAGCTGTTAATGCATCTTCCGTAATACAGAAAATGCAATAAAAACCGGCGTAAAACCAAATGAACTTGATTGGATAAATACAGTCAATCGAATAATAAAGAGATTCGATTTTTTGTTTTCGTTTACATCTTTTCAGATATCGATGAATGCGCGCTGGGCTTCCATGATTGCCATCCGAACGCAACGTGTGTCAATGAGAATCCAGGCTTTAAATGTTACTGTAAGACAGGTTTCCGCGGTCATGGAGTGGACGGAGCCTTTGCTAACGGCCGAGAATGTCCAGGTAATTTTGTTTTTGTTTTTCTACATTTTAAATACCGCTAATCAAAATAGATGACTGATAAGGGGGGCTAGAGCATACTGCCCACCGAACCCCCTGACAGGTGGGAGACTCTGATTTGTTGGCAGTACTTTGTGACCCTCTCTATCTTATCATCATTTACCTTTTCTTTTACCTATATTCATATACGTTACAAATTAAATCAAGCATAACTATTAATGAGTGAAAGGTTTTCACAGATTTTGACGTTTTTTTTGTCGTTGAAATCCGTGAATTTGTTTTGCCTATGCTAAGTCTTAGAAAACATTATATAAAATTCACTAATTTTTATCCATAATGTTGAATATGTTAAAATTATTAAAGTTTTTAACAAGAAAAAAAACTTTAGTTGATGTTAAAAACTGCCTCAAAACATTTGTTTAAAATGGAATGATTTGTCTATATTTCTGAGATGAGGTATTATGTACACTATTTACATTATTCGGACTATTGTCCTCATCTTTGTCGCCATATTTATTACAACGTTTCAGCCTTTTAGTATCTGTTTATATTTCTGAGATGAGTTATTACTGTGGCACCATTTACGAGGCAGAGAAAGAAAGAGAAAGAAAAGAAGGCAGAAAGAAATGCGAGACGGATCATAGGTGATAAAACAGCCACACACATGGCCTAAGAGACAATGAAAATATTGATAAGTAACAAGTGAAAAAGTGTGTCATTAGAATGACAGGGAATTTCTGAGTAAAAAAAAAAAGAAAAGGAAAAGAAAGAAGGAACCAGATGTGTTTTGATAACGGCTATGTTATCTAGGTACGTAAACGAATGGCTAGACCACTGGCCCAGGAAAAATTCAAGTGAAAATGCTATTTCGATAAGTAACGAGAAACAGGCCACTAAAAAGGACCTTAATTAAAAATTAAATCCCACACAAGCAGAGCGCTGACCGAATTCCTTTCGACAAAACAACTTTGCCCTGCGGTAATAAAATTATGTTATGAGACACATGTACCGAAGGAAAATAAATGGGAACCAGAAATGTTTTTCTTTCTTCCTTGGAGACGACAGACTGACTGAAATTTTGGGGGATAATTCTTTTCTGAGGCCATGTCGGGAAAACCAACCATCTTGATGAATTAGCGATAAACTACCTGACAAACGCCACGTGTTGAACAAAGAGTTGTCATATTATCCGTTCGCGACTAGAGAAATGATAACGGCGATTTGAAAGGAAGAAAAAGGAAAGAGAAGAGATAATTAATTTTTTTTAGTTAAGCAAGGTATTTTTTTTTTTCGACAAAGCCGCCCGACTAAGACATCATTGGTCAAGTGGTGATCACGTGACGCACGAAGGAGGAGGAAAGATACCGACCAAGACCTCATTGGTCGAGAGTGATCACGTGACGCACGAAGAAGGCTGTCGACGCCCCCATCCAGAGTGTAAGTATGAGAAGCTGCTACGAAGAAGTGGGGAGGGCAGTTCATGCCCCTCAAAGTATGGTGAGAAAGTGGGAGTGAAAAAAGTTACCAAAAATGGAAAAGAGTGGAAAATCCCTAACCAGAAATAAAAAGAGGTGGATATGTATTTAGAATTATCGAGGAACCCCCCCCGACGCCAACAGACCCACCCCGGTTTTGGTCGGCGTCAATAAAACAAGCCCCAACAGGCAGAAATCAGTTCGGGCCCTGGCAGCAGAGATGAGTGTCCAGAAAGTTCGGGCCCTGGCGGCAGAGATGAGTGTCCAGAAAGTTCGAGCTCCAGTTTCCAGAGTTGAAGCCGCCTCGAGATAGCTGACCAAGATTCACGCAAAATTTCGGACTCCTCTTCAACCAAGAACAATTATTTTGAAGAGCGACTTAGGACCAGACCACCGAAATAAGTTTTTTTCGACTTTCGTCCAAAGACACACCGAAACACAAATTTCTTAGAGAGCAAACAACTTGAAGCGTTAAAACTTGCCTAGCGAAAACGACGTGTCACAATCCACAGAACGGGTCGGGAGAGGATGCAGTCCTATGTATCGAACAACTAGACATAAAGTTTGTTACCTTTTTCTTTGATACTTTGAACTTTTTGAGTTTTCATTTTATTTTCTTTTATGCATATTTGTGTGTTATCACCCCCGTTGAACTCAATTTGCATTACGGCCCCAACCACTGTTTGATCTCGTCTGTCTAAGATCAATTCACAACGTGGGTAGGCAGACTGGAGATCAATGCAGTTACCTTGGTAACCAGGCGTTGGGAGCGAGTTGGGAACGACGAGGCTGATGTCAAATCTAACCAGATTCCCACCCGAATCACCAAAAGGTTAGAACGTCACATTTGGGTACCGCGACCGATACCAAGCCAGTTGGTCGTCACAGGACGAGACAACACGACTGACGCGACAGGCGGACGTCACAATTGGTGCTGTTTAGGGACGTCACAACTGGTGTCGTGACCGGGATAGGACCCTGGAACGGCCACGTCACAACTGGCGCCGTGGTAGATCAGGATAGAACGTCACAGTTGGCGCTGCGACCGGGGAACGACGTCACATTACGTACACTATTTACCTTATTCGGGTTATTGTCCCCATCTTTGTCGCCATATTTATTACAACATTTCGGTCGTTGTATGCTCCGGACTTCTTCCGGTGGTTGCAATGTCAAACTGAAGCATAGAAATGAATACAATATGGGAACCAGTAATAAGGAATGCCAGAGAAAAGCGACAATAACAACAAAAATTGCAATATGAGTTCTGGTAAAAAAAAAAAAATTAATAATAGCAGCAAAAAATTGCAATATGAGCACTGGTTGTCCGAATAATGTTGCTGAAGACATTAGGTTTATAATACCCAGAAATTCATACACAGATGTCCTCAAGGACACATGGTACAGTGGATAAAGGCGTTAGTTAAATCCAGTGACAGGGCCCAAAGAGTGTGAGTTCAATACCCGGTTAAGGCAGTGGAAAACTTGGAGAGGGGAATAAACAGATAACTGACATCCATTAAACATGGCGAGCGGAACTAGAACAGTCTACCCCAGTGAGCGAAATAAAGGGTTCAGTTCGACATTCCAACCTGAAGAAAAGGTGTCGTAGTGTACAACGGCCGAAACGTTGTACAACGGCCGAAACGTTGTAATAAAATGGCGACAAAGATGGGACAATAGTCCGAATAATGTAAATAGTGTATGGAATGATTTATTATGACATGTCTCTTAGATACATTGTATTCTCTTTTTTTTAATTGTGTTCCTCCCAAGCAAAACATTAAAACAACTACAAGGGGTTACTAGGTGTGAAAGAATTTATTTTCAATTTTTCTAGTTGAATTGTTCACCTATATTGCATATAATCCATTATTGTACGTAATTAAAGTTACAATAGAATTGTACAGCGGATTAGTGCCTGCAGGATTTGACAAAAAAAATGTGTCGTTAACTCAATGTGATGATTGAATAATGACGCTACGAATGTATAAAAACAAAGTACATATGTACCACCGATTTTCCGGCGACATTTTTCGACAGTTTTGATTTGTGCCTCTTGTTCGATATTTGCAGATGACAATGAATGCGGATTGCGAATGTGCCCCTGGTCGGCCCACTGCAAGAATCTTCCAGGCACATTTAAATGCACCTGTCGGAATGGATTCACGCAAACAAGTCCTCTTACTTGTGAAGGTGAGTCTCCTTTTTTACTGAATACACACACACACAAAATTGCGTGCATGCAAACACTTGCACACACGCACAGCCTCGCACAGACACACACATACAGACACACACAAACACGCAAAAACATTCATACACACACACACACACACACACACACACACACACACACATATATATATATATATATATATATATATATATATATATATATTAGGATATTTTTTAGGGATCTTCTCTATCCGGAGGTAGAGAGTTTGACCAGCACAGTACAGCTGGAGACGAATCTCCAACTGCCGGATATTTACCAACCGCCCCACGCGGTCATATAGACCGAATTTAATGTGGGGTTTCCGAGCCCGTAGTCTCGGCCAAAAATTCTCCGTAAAGCCCTCATAAAACGGAGTCGGGTAGCTGTTTCCCGAGACGAGACTCTACCCTCCGACATAGCCTCGTCTGGGGATCCTCTCTGCCCAGAGACAGAGAGTTTGACCGGCACAGCTGGAGACGAATCTCCAACTGCAGACCAACATACAGTATTTACTACTGTATATATGTGAATGGAGACATACCCATTATCGTTTTTAGGTATGCTACAACAGATTGGATAGCCACTCTAATAGACAGGCATATTCTTATGAGTTACCAGCCACCATATTGGAGGTATTATTTTAATGTTTATTTTTTTTTAATCTTTTTGTCTTAAATGTACTATGAGCAATTCTGATATTTTTAACTGTATGCACTTTGAAGGTATTAAGTTCAGTGTAGATTTTTTTTTATCCATATTCCTCTTAGAGGTGTCCGCTTCAATGTTGATATTTTAACCATAAACACCTTGGAGGCATTAGGTTGTTCACCTTGGAGGAATTAACGACATTGCTGACTTTTCAGCCGTACCAACCTTGGAGGTATTTGGTTCAATATGTTATTATTATTTTTTTTTTAGCCGTATTCACCTTGGAGGCATTAGGCTATATCAACTGAGGTTCAACGTTTTTGTTGTTTCAGTGGCTTCCGGTGTTCATTAGGCTACGCCAGAAATCTTCGCAAAGAACAGGTCGTGTTTATTAGTGTCACGTTCAAAGATTTTTTTTTCTCTCATATCCGCTCGGGATTTTGCTGAAAATTTAGTGCTTAGAAAAGCGAGTCGATAAACTCGATAGAAAGTCATTGAGTTGATTATCGTTTTCTTAATGAAAGTCTCTAAAAGTAGGACGACAAAATCCCGCAGTTCAAAGGTGGCATAATGATTGATGATTCATGGAGGCGTCTCACTGTTTTTTTTTTTTTTTGGCTGTTCACAGTTACCACATTTTGATGGCCCTCTCCTTCTTGAGAACGTTTCTCTTTTCACTTAAAGTAGAAGACGATGAGGGAAAAAAAAACTGTTACAAGTAGAAAAATGTACTTTTTTTTTCATTTTCGGACAAATGAAAATGTAAAATTTAGTGATTGGTCTGCCTGGGAGTCCTCACACCTTACAGTCGTCTTAGTGATTTTTATTCAATGGCCACTTTTAAATTTTAATACTTGAAGTAGTTGAAAGAATCGAAAAATTACAAACACACTCACATATTGTATGTATCCTGTACCTTTAACGCGGTAGGTTGAGCCGGCTCCAATATTGGAGTTTCATGGGAATTTGGGAATTCACAAGCGGTCCCCAACCCGCATGTATATCACATGAGATTTTGATTATAGTGGTGAAGGTTTCGTGCAGGACCATCCACTCTTTTTGAAGGCCCGATTACAGAGACCTGGTGAACTACATTTTACCGTAGGAGTTTTATTAACTTGTTTTAAATTCCAAAAAATATTTAGAAAGAGATGTACTATTTTTATAAGTACTATAGGTGAAGGGTAAGATATGTTGGTACCATCTAGTCTTAAAAGAATTCTTAGTACTCTCAATATAAATTTTTCCTATTGTAGAAATAGTACTTAGATGAACAAGAGAGTTGGTCATACATTGGTTTTACAATAGGTATCCGTTAGAATTATTTATTTAGTTAATCAGGCAAACCCACATACCTCATTTTAATTCTGTTTTTTCTTTTTCTCTTTGAAAAAAAGAGGAAGTATTCTGTTTTGTAATTAATCGTTCACTTACTAGTAATTTACTATCACCCGAGGAGACATATTTGTAATGTTGAAACACAATTGGCATTGCGTAGCGATTTTTAATGTCTTTTTGTTTTAATCAACGATAATAAATAATATTTATTTCTACTCTGTATTGAGCCCTCTTTTAAATTAAATGTTATGGACAGTGGAATTATACACCGTTTGTTCTTATCTTACCTGGATATATATATATATATGTGTGTGTGTGTATGTGTGTGTGTATGTGTGCGTGTGTATTTAGGCAGCAGTCCTTCTTTCATGCACATTTCATTGAATACGGCAGACAAGGTGATTTTATTTTGTTTTTTATACGATTTCTCATGCGATCTAGTAATTTTTATCTTAGCAAAAATTCCCCGTAGACCCCGTAAAAACGGGGTCGGGTAGCTGTCTACCAACCCAGACGAGACTCTGCCCGTCTCTGCCTTGTCTGGGTTTCTCTCAGCCCGAAGGCAGAGAGTTCGACTAGCTTAGCTGGAGACGAATTTCCAACTAATTGCCGAAGCCAACCGCCCCACGCGGTCAGATGTGACACAAAGCCGAATATAACGTGGTGTATCCGAGCCCGTAGGATCGGGCAAAAATTCACCGTAGACCCCGTAAAAACGGAGTCGGGTAGCTATCTACCACCGCAGACGAGGCTCTACCCTTCGGCATAGTCTCGTCTGGGTTCCTCTCCGCCCGAAGGCAGAGAGTTCGACTGGCTTAGCTGGAGACGATTCTCCAACTAATTGCCGAAGCAATCCCCTAGGCATATCCTGTGCTCACTATATATAGCTACTGATATATTCAGTTCATATTGGCGATAGGGAGTGTGGGACATTTCATTACAACAGTAGTGAAGGAAAGCGAGAAGAAAAGAATGCATGGTTGTTAGCAAAAGGAACAGTTCGACATGCATATTACAAATTGGAGATACCAAAATCAAACAACTATAAAAATTTAAATATGTGGGAGTTTTTTTAACAGCGACCGGAAAGTGCAACAATGACATCCGTAGGTGCATTGTGATAGCGAAAGATGCCTCCCAGAAGCTGAGCAAAGTATTAAGAAACAGGAAAATTTTGTTTGAAACGAAGGAAAGAGTACTAAACCATTACGTAATATCAGTCATCCGAGATAAAGAAGAGACTTGAAGCAACAAAAATGTGGTTTTACAGAAGGATGTTGAGAATACCATGGGTTTAACATGCGAGCAACGACGAAGTTTTAGAGAAAAATGGAAACAAAATGGCACTTCTGCTTTCAAACTCACAGGACAGATTGAAGGCAATAGGAACAGAGGAAAACTATGCATAACGTACCTAGCAAGTTTGTGTAAATGGATGGCAGAATACGTTTTAGAGAAGATAACAAAGGCACCATTTTTAAGACAGACAAACGACAGGAAATAGTGGAGATCCATAATCCAGACGTCCTGAATGGACACGGTAAATAGAAGAAGAAAATTGATGTCTGCATTTATTGACTTCATTCCTTCACATCAGCGATACCTTCAACCTATCCTAAGTTTGAAAGGAAGTGAAATGAAGATCTATCAGTCTACTGATAAACGTTTATAAATTATTCATCTGCAGCATTGCAAATTGTACTAAAACGATCTCTAGTCCTCTCTTTCAGAATCGCAGGCTGCATACCAGTCTGGAAAAGGAACAATTGACCAGATCATAGTTTTAGAGCAAATTATTGAAAAATCCTTGGACATTGGGGAGAATAAAGATTGCTAAATTTCTGAAAGGACACAGCCGAAAAAAGAAGAAAGTTAGAAAGTTCTTTATCTTCGAAATGCAGAAATATTTTACTACAGCTTCTACCACGTATACTGCTACTATATCAACTGCTACTACTGCTATTAAATCTACTGCTACTACTTGTTGTGAATATGGATTATCTCCTCTTAGATTATCCAAGCTATAAAAGCTGTATACTTCCGCTGTCAAGTCAGATGAATAGTAGAATTCTAACCCGAAGGAGGCTACGCAGAAGGGCGGAGTCTCCTTCGGGGGGGTAAAACCGGCCCTGAACCCGTTTATACGGGTTCAAATGGGCTAATGGCTGGGGAATGCCCACGTTAAAAAGGCCTTGTGCCACATGACACCCTCGTGGGGGGTGACTCAATATCGATGAGTAGTAGTATTGCCCGAAGGAGGCTACGCCGAAGGGCGGAGTCTCCTTCGGGGAGGTAAAATCGGCCCTGAACCCGTTTATACGGGTTCAAATGGGCTAATGGCTCGGGAATGCCCACGTTAAAAAGGCCTTGTGCCACATGACACCCTCGTGGGGGGGTGACTCAATATCGATGAGTAGTAGTATTACCCGAAGGAGGCTACGCCGAAGGGCGGAGTCTCCTTCGGGGAGGTAAAACCGGCCCTGAACCCGTTTATACGGGTTCAAATGGGCTAATGGCTCGGGAATGCCCACGTTAAAAAAGGCCTTGTGCCACATGACACCCTCGTGGGGTGGGGTGACTCAATATCGATGAGTAGTAGTATTCTTAATTGAATAAACGATTACTAGACAGAATCTCTTGTCCTGTTTTCATTACATTTTATTCAATTAAGAATGGAACAATTTATGCGACCTGAGCGACTTACCACAGATCCAGAAAGCGATTCAGCCGACAAGTGCTAGAAACATTGGCGGGAGACATTTACAAATTTCATCGAGGTTCTACATTCAGAAACCGGGACGTCCCATCAATAACCAACTACCTGTCTCACACAGTCAACGAAATTATCTCGGATTGCGTTACCTACGAAGAAGCAATCGATGTACTGAACGCTACATGCATAAAGCCCCAAAATGAGATATTTTCTAGACACCTACTTGCGACTCGCCGACAAGAATCAGGCGAGACATTGGACCATTTCCTTAAGAGCCTGCTCCTCTGAGAAGGAAACATTTCGGAGCAAGGTATTTTAGAGCCCACAGACAGACTCGCACTGAAGAGCCTCCCTGTTCGAGTACTCCGACCAAGAATCATGGACTGCCGAGGCGGCCACTGCGAACTCGTAGGGAGCCTGGACACTTAAGGGACTTTCTTCCCTATCAGTGAGAAATTTGGTGGGGGAGAATGTTGTGAATATGGATTATCTCCTCTTAGATAATCCAAGGTATAAAATCTGTATACTTCCGCTGTCAAGTCAGATGAGTAGTAGTATTGAGTCAGTAGTTCACTTTTGAACAGACTGCTCGGTTTGAACTCCTTTCCTACGGGCGGGAGGAACCCAAAGGAGGCTACGCCGAAGGGCGGAGTCTCCTTCGGGGAGGTAAAACCGGCCCTGAACCCGTTTATACGGGTTCAAATGGAGCTATTTTGGCCGAGCCTAATGGCTCCAGGAATGCCCACGTTAAAAAAGGCCTTGTGCCACATGACACCCTCGTGGGGGGGGTGACTCAATATCGATGAGTAGTAGTATTCTTAATTGAATAAACGATTACTAGACAGAATCTCTTGTCCTGTTTTCATTACACTACTACTGCTATTTATGGATATTTTTGTTTCTTGTTTATTTTATTTATTTTATTTTTTTTTTGGTTCTTGTTCATTAAATATAATGTGACTCTTTTGTTTTGCCAGATATTGATGAATGTAAAAAAGGAACTCACAACTGTGATCCAAACGCTCAGTGCGTCAACACAGAAGGTGGATTTTTCTGTCGTTGTAAAAGAAATTTCCGCGGGAATGGCACGGTCGGATTCTGTGAGAGTATGTTTCCTATTTCTGCTACCTCTTTCTTAGAATTTATTACATATTGCACATTTGCGGCGTTCTCACCTTGGCTTACGTCGAGAAGGGATTTCTACTCTACCGTTAAAGTTTTCAATCATCAAACTCATTTCATGTACCGTAAGGGCTAAACACCTTAGCATTTTGATCACGGCTGAAGAAGTAAATTGATGCAAACAATATATAAAGGGAAGTAAGCATTGTTAACATTTTAAATAGTATACTTTGAAAATCTAATAAATAGTTTAAATTATTTAATAACACGCTGATTTTAAATACACGATTATCAAAATCATTCCTACTAATGATTCACATTAATTAGGCAATTTCATTAAAGCCATTTTACGGCATATATAAAGCTCTCAAATAAAGAACCGGTTGTTTAGCACAGTGCAACATATGGAAGAGGACAAGCTCGCAAATTACAAGAGAGCATTGCCAGAACTTGCAAAATAAAACAGCGAAAGCAGAGATTTAATGATATATATCATCTTCTATAGCCGACTGATTCCTTGTACGGTATCATGACAACTATGGTCAATAGCTTTTATAAAATTGAATTTTTAATACGAATTTTTTAACGTCTTGTGCATTCTATCACTAAATATGTGTTCCACAATGTTGGCCTTTTACGAGAATAATCTAGATAATGAATATATATATATATATATATATATATATATATATATATATATATATATATGAAGAAATGTAGTTTTAATGTGTGCTATATCTATGGTATAAAGTAGTCAATATCAGAGATAGAGCGTGTGTAAATATAAATATAAAAGTGAACATTTAAGTCAACACTCAGAGGCGACAGGCTTTTTCATGTTAGACGCAATCGTCAGCTGCGAATGTTGGAATTTCTTCTCGACTATTCATATATATGGACAGTGGTGCATTGTGGGTAATCCATTCTGGCGGTTATTTTGGCGGGAGTAGCTTGCTTATTTATGTGTTTATTTACTTCTTTATTTGGGTTAATTTAATTTAATAATACATCGAAAAACGAAATAAAATGAAAATAAAAAACAGGTAAAATAAATCGAGGCAGTCGGATATCGACGAAAATTAATTTTGGGGTCTGAGAACACTCAGAATTGTTATTTATATATGTATTTATTTTACCAAAATATACTGAAGGCAAACAATTTGTGGCCACCTAGCATTTCTTAAAGAAAGGATTTTTTTTAAAGTAAAAGAATATTTCAATAACTACCATATATTTGCTTTTATTTTTAAGTTTTTCTCCAGGTTCCTCTTTCTAACAAACGGTTCAACTTTGCTGAATTATTAATATTTTGCAAGTGAAACTTTTAGATTTTTGTTTTCACCATTAACACCACAGTAAATATTTTGAGATTATTAAAAGGGCTGAAAATTTTGTTATGGTTAATAGAATCATGAAAAATTTGATTTTGAGAAGACATGCTGTACCAACTGCTTTACACATAATTGGAAAAGAAATCTCATCTTTCAACAAGGCAACGACCCAGAACACGCTTCTAAATTATGTCAAAATCACCTTGAGTCAGAAAAGGAATAAAATATTGGAAATTATAACTTGGCTGCCGCAAATCTCTTGACATCTCTCCTACTGAATTAGTAGGGGATTAATTATATAGGAGAATCCGAATAGAATGCCTAGATGGAGAGTGAGCTTTTTTTTCCTTGAAGAATGCTTTGAAAGGTACGCCATATTCTTTTTTTTTAAAGAAAAACTATTGGAAAGAGTGCCAAGAATTTGTAAAACAATAATTAAGGCAGGTGCTGTTTTTATTGACAAAAACAAAATATGATGTTGCTGTATGATAATGATTTTCTTTAAAGTTATGTGCTTATTTGTTTGTCAAAATAAAAGCGAATACGCCGTACGTACTGAAAATCTACGTTTTACTTAAACAAATACAAAAATATCTCATTTTAAGTTATTTTCTTAAGAAATGCGGGATGGCCACGATTTCTTGGCTTGAAGAGTACGCATTTTCAGATTGTATAACTGAATTTATATCTTTCATTTGAATGCTTTAGGAATTGGAATCTGCCAGTGTTTTGGTGATCCTCACTGTCTTTCTTTCGACGACAAATGGTTACATTTCCAAGGCAAGTGTAAGTATATCATGGCGTCGGACAAGTGCACTGCAAACGCCATACCGACATTCGAAGTACAAACACTATTCTGGGACGCGCACGGTCCTAACAAAGGATTTACATGGGTGAAAGAAGTCACTGTTATTATTGGAAAAACGGTGAGTACAAATTCGACAACGTTTTTCTGTTAAATTTCCTTTATTGTCCTGTTGAATTCTGAAAGCTGAGGCAATTTGCCGATGGCAATTTGCCAGTGATAACTAGACACTTTTTTAAATTTTACCATTTCTAAACCGTCGGTGTCAGAGAACAAGACATCAGTAAACTGCATTAAAATGACTAGTACAAAGTTGCTCATATAAAAAGCTTAACCGTTCTGGGTATGACGATAATCTACATCCGGTAAGATGAGAAACTACGTCCCACAGCAAGGTCTCTGATCAGGAGGTTTTGAGAAGCATGCTGGTGTTCCCATGTCCATCCTGACCCGGGGTGGTAGCACCTGTTTGGGTCCCAGCTATAGCAAATAGCTAAAGCATTATAAAAGTAAAAATAGGTTTTAACTCTAGAAATACTTTGTAAAAAATTATTGCCAGAAATAAATTTTTGAAGAAAAAAACTATTACCAGCTTTATATTTTTGAAAAAAAATATTACCAGTAATACGTTTTTGAAAATAATATTAACAGCTATACATTTTTGAGAAAAAAAAATATTACCAGAAATAGATTTTTGACAAAACAAAATATTACCAGGAAAAAAAGGTTGTCGGAATTAAATAACCCATTGAGGTTGATATACCTAAAACAGAACAAAACAAACCTATACGTACTAAGATAGATAGATAAAAAATATTACCAGCAATAAAAATCTTATCGGCATTAAATAATCCATTGAGGTTGACACGCCGTAAAACAGAACAAAACAAAAAACAAATAAAAAGCTTAAATTCTACCTCCATTGAAAGCTGCCATATCAGCCCTATGACTAGTACAATGTTGCTCATATAAAATGCCTAAATTCTACCCTGATGAGATGTAAGGTTGATATACCAAGTCTATTACTAGTAAAAAGTTGCTTATATAAACATCTTAAATTGTAGCTATACGTAAGGCTGCTATGTCAAATCTATGGCTAGTACAAGTTGCTCATATGAACAAACTTCGGCCACTTCGACTTGGTATAATGGTGAGCAAGCTTGCCTCCCTAGATCAGTTACGACTGAATAGTAATTTCGATGCTCACTGGGTGCCTCATACTTTCGACTTTGTACTACATCTAAGCTACACTTACAAAATCTCCAGCGTTCTTCTACTTCCATGTAAAGCTATATAAAGCTATGTAATATTTTTATGTTCATAGCTAATGTAAAGTTGTTCACATGAACATACCTATAATGTATTTACATTTAAATTAGTATAATCGCAAGGCCTCTGATCAGGAGGTTTTGAGGAGCGTGGAACCACCTCTTAATTGCTGGTGATCCCAGGTCCATCCTGATCCGGGGTGGTAGCACCTGTTAGGGTCCCAGCTATGGGCAAATAGTTAACTATTATCAGCAATACTTTTTTGAAAAAATTATTACCAGCAATACAATTTTGAAGGAAATATATTGCCAGAAGCAGATTGTTGACAAAACAAAATATTACCAGCAATAAAAGGTTTTTTGCCAGCATTAAATAACCCATTGAGGTTGATATGCCGTAAAACAAAATAAACCAAACCAATCTAAACCAAAGAATACATATTTTATTCATACAAATCTATCCTAAAAATGTTGTCGGTATTAAATAACCCATTGAGGTTGATATACCGTAAAACAAAATAAACCAAACCAATCTAAACCAAAGAATACATATTCTATTCATACGAATCTATCCTAAAAATGTTGTCGGCATTAAATAACCCATTGAGGTTGATATACCGTAAAACAAAATAAACCAAACCAATAAACCAAACCATACATATTTTATTCATAAAATCTATCCTAAAAATGTTGTCGGCATTAAATAACCCATTGATTCATATACCGTAAAACAAAATAAACCAAACCAATCTAAACCAAAAATACATTTCTATTCATACGAATCTATCCTAAAAATGTTGTCGGCATTAAATAACCCATTGAGGTTGATATACCGTAAAACAAAATAAACCAAACCAATCTAAACCAAAGAATACATATTTTATTCATACAAATCTATCCTAAAAATGTTGTCGGCATTAAATAACCCATTGACGTTGATATACCGTAAAACAAAATAAACCAAACCAATCTAAACCAAAGAATACATATTCTATTCATACGAATCTATCCTAAAAATGTTGTCGGCATTAAATAACCCATTGAGGTTGATATGCCGTAAAACAAAATAAACATAAACAAACAAATTAGTATAATTTATTTAAGTATGCCAGATTTAAGCTTTCCTTATCCGGCACCAGTTAAGTTAGTTTGAAATTAATGAAATTAATATTAGCTTAAGTCCCAGGGGACCATCCTACCCAGACAAAATCTCTCCTTCGAAAAGGGGATGGGCTGAGGCGCCACAAAAACTCGAAAGTGCTTGAGTAGTTATTTTTTCACAGTATTGTCGGTGATGTCCCATTAAATCCCAAACCTTGTGTAATATTTGCTAGCAAAATGGGCGCACTGAAACATGCCAGTACGCCTTGTTTATGGCAAATGCAATATTTTAACTTTTAATCTGGCGCTCCTTGGACATATGCTTACATATGCAAATGTTGTAATATATAAGTCAATTTTTTATAGTAGATTTGGTATTTATCTTTCTACGAATCTATCTCAGACTGTTCACGATGTACATTTATCTATTTGCCTGATCTTTTTCACACACACACACACACACATACACACACACACACACACACACACACACACACACATATATATATATATATATATATATATAGTTTGTGCAAAACTAGTTAATCCGCATGGGTAGACCCAAGGAGGATGATATCCGGAGAGCTCAATGTAAAATTCAGAGCCGATATGTTTGAATAAAACAGACCACTTTAGGTTCCATGTAATAAGTTATTTTACCACAACCCCTTTAACGAGGCTCTTGGATCATCAGACTTTACTTCCAAAGGTTGAAATGAAAAATCATTTCAACCTTTGGAAGGAAAGTCTGATGATCCAAAAACCTGTTAAAAATTGTGTGAAATAACTTATTACATGGAACCTAAAGTGGTCTGTTTTATTCAATATATATATATATATATATATATATATATATATATATATATATATATATGAAGAAATATAGTTTTAAAGTGTACTATAGTTATGGGACAAAGTGCTCAATATCAGAGATAGACCGTATGTAAATATAAAAGTGAACATTGAAGTCAACACTTAGAGGCGACAGGCTGTTTCATGCTAGACGCAATCATAAGGCCACAGGTGTTGAGTTTTTTATCGACTTTTTATATATACTTGTCAGTGGTGCATTGTGGGTAGTTCATTCTAACATATTTTGGCGGAAGTGGTTTGTTTATTTATTTATTTGGATTAGTTTATCAAAAGGCGTTAAAATTTTCAGACTTTATATTAATTGTTAGTAGTAGTGAACTAAAGGAGTGAATGTTTCTTTATGAAGAAAATGAAACTTTATCTGTAGTTTTCATTTGTTGTTTATGGTTAATTTTGCTGAGTCCTTGTGTTGGTCAAACGGCCTCTTTTAAGCTATTTTTAAAATTGAGGTTGGGGAGATTCATGAGTCGCAGAATTCCCTTCTTAGTCATTTTGATTGTTTTATTGTTTGCTGGGAGGTGGATGTGCGTGTTAAGCGCATATTATCTTTTAATTCTTTGGGAGTGTGTATGATGTGTATAAGTGTATATATTGGTATTAGTGTGTGTATAAGTGTGAAAACTCAACACCTCTGCAAGCATGTCTGTCTTGTGTAGCTGAGAAATGTAGGTAGGACTTGATTTATGGGTTTATATATTAATTTTATCTATGTTGTTAAATTTGTGGTGAAGCCCGTCATATAACTATCTATCCATCTATGCATCTCTCTCTCTCTCTCTCTCTCTCTCTCTCTATATATATATATATATATATATATATATATATATATATATATATATATATATATTGTGATATTGTTTTCCAGGTAATTAATCTACAAAAATAAAATCATTAAAGTAAATGGCGTTTTCAAAAATGTTCCCCATAAAATCAATGAGGACATCATGATTCAGCCAACTCCCAAGTTCCTCGTAAGTACATTTGAATTCCATTTTCTTCTTCTTCTATGTGCTGTGTCCTATCAAGATATCGCCAATCACGGCTCTTAAGAATTTCCAATACTTTGTAATTCTGATTAAAGTTTACCGTTTTACTATCTCTCCTAATCCTCGTTTTACCCACATTTTTTTTTGTAGAACACCGCTGTTTATTCTGTTAATGTTATTCTCAACATTTTCTCTTTCTTTCTTTCTTTCTTTCTTTCTTTCTTTCTTTCTTTCTTTCTTTCTTTCTTTCCATATCTCTTCTTTATTTCTTTCACTTCTTTCCATGTATCTTTCTTTCTTTCTTTCTTTCCATCCATATTTGTTCTTTATTTCTTTCTCTTCTTTCTTTCTTTCTTTCTTTCCATCCATATATCTTCTTTCTTTCTTTCTTTCTTTCTTTCTTTCTTTCTTTCTTTCTTTCTTTCTTTCTTTCCATCCATATCTCTTCTTTCTTTCTTTCTTTCCATCCATATCTCTTCTTTCTTTCTTTCTTTCCATCCATATCTCTTCTTTCTTTCTTTCTTTCTTTCTTTCTTTCTTTCTTTCTTTCTTTCCATCCATATTTGTTCTTTCTTTCTTTCTTTCTTTCTTTCTTTCTTTCTTTCTTTCTTTCTTTCTTTCTTTCTTTCTATCCGTATTTGTTCTTTATTTCTTTCACTTCTTTCCATGTATCTTTCTTTCTTTCTTTTGTTCCATATCTCTTCTTTCTTTCTTTCTTTCTTTCTTTCTTTCTTTTTTTCTTTCTTTGTTCTTTCTTTCTTTCCCTCGAATCTGTAGTCCTTCCTTTTTTCTTCTCTGTACTGTGTATCTTTTCTTTATTTCTTTGATTAGATAACTAAAAGTCTTGATCTTTTTCAGGAATTAATAACCAGTTTTGGCCTAAAAGTTTCCTGGGACGGTATCGCTCTCGTGGAAGTGAAAATACCGCGTTCCTATATCAACAAAACATGCGGCCTTTGCGGCAGATTCAATGATGACCAAGCAGACGACTGGACAATTGGCCCAATGTGCGATGTTAACGGCCCACTGGTAAGTTGTCTGTGCTTTTGTGCTCTTAGCGTAGTATTTATCAGCTTAGAAAATGAGATCGTCGATCCGAGTTCAAATTACGGTTGAGGCCATTGTGTTCACTTTCGCACAATTACACTTGGGGAAAGTATGAATCCTTCTCATCTTCTTCTCCAGCTATAGATTTTAGATTGAGCTTTCTAACCTTGGTTGGCCACCAGTCTAGGAGGAGGACAACTCTGAATCCAAAACCAGTTGTGCGTAAGTTATCAGCTTCAACCCGAAGACATACTTGTTACAGAAACCATAGCAGCACCTCTAGCGTAGTGAATCTGTGGCCTGATTTCAACAGAGAAACTTTTAAAACATTCTGTCGGCTGGGTTCATAATATGTCGATTACAACGGATTAATATCCTACCCCTTACCCCCCCCCCCCAAAAAAGAAGAAAAAGATTCACCTTCCAGATTGAAATTACAGACCCCAACCTATGTCTACCTTTTTGACTCTCGTGTAAGCATTAGATATGTCTATATTTTTCATCTTTAATCCTTTGAGACCAGCGTTCCTAAACAATTTGAACCTTTCAGCCTGAGCTGCTGAGTCAAAATTCGCAAATAATTGGTATGTAATGTTTCACGGTAGATATAAAAATTGTTACAAGCGTGAACCCACTGTTCAACCGGTGGCTGGGTATTAAGTCATTTTTCTCTACCCCTGTTCAACCCGGTGGCTCGACATTACGCCATTTTTCTCTACCACCGGTAAAGCTGTGCTCAAGTCTAAGCCAATTGATAAATAAATCATTTTAAATTTCTGTGATCAGCGTTCAATTCTTATGTTAAATTAACAACTTTTTTAAAGATTGTTCTCAGATTTTAATGCCTTCCTTATTTTTATTTCATAAATATGTCGTCAATTCATTAGAGATCGGTAAAACCATAGCTACGTTTCTTAACTCTATCTCCATCCATGTACATTCTTGGATGGTATCCTGATTAAGATTTAAAGAGTTATGCTTAGCTTATTTTCGCACTAAACCACAAGTTTCCACTCATTGACCTAGCTGGCGGTAAATGTAAATTGTCTGTTCAACCGTTGGCTGGGCATTGTCATTTTCTCTACCATTGGTAAAGCGGTGTTCAGGGCTGAAAGGGTTAACAGAAATTTTCTTGGAAAGCCTATCTATATCCTTTTAGGATTTATAAGGGTTATGATTAGATTATTTTCGCATTAAATCACAAGTACAGGCTACTCAGTGAGCATCGAACACTAGCTGGTTAACAACTGCACAATCGCAAATTGTCCGTTCAATCGGTGGCTGGTCATTACGTCATTTTTCTCTACCACCGGTAAAGCGGTGGTCAAGTCTCCAAGGAGTAAACTGGTCCTTTCGACTCAAGTGTAAATCAGATCTATGTTTACTTTTTGGACTCAAGAGTAGGCCGTACCTATATCTATCTATATATTAATTCATTGGGATCTTTATCATATAAGACGATAGGAAATTAGCCGTTATGGATTGATACGTTTTTAACAATCGAACATATCAGGATGAGTATTTTAGGAAACCAATTCCAATGACTAATGTATCAATCTAACTACCAATCATTTGTGTCAGTTAAGAATAAACTTGGAGGAGAGTAATATGCTTTTTTTGCACGGTAGTGGCACTGAAAACTGTACATTCAAAAACGTTCTCATTCATGACAATGCAAATTCGCTTACGAGGGTCGTTCAAAAAGTTCTAAGCTTTACCCAGGACGGGTTGAAGAAACAAGACCGTTTTTCACTATTTTTTCAATATACCGCCCCCTTGAGATCAATGCTCATGCTCCAACGATGCTTAAGCATTGCAGTCTCTTCACGGAAGAAGGTGGTATCCTGGTCCTCCGAAAACTCCACAGCACATATGATCTCATCATTGTTTCAAAAATGAGAACTACGAAGCTGAAATTTGTGTTTAGAAAAAAGGAAGAGGTCAGATGGAGCTAAGACTGGTGAGTAAGGGGGATGGTGTAGCAATTCAAAGCCACAGTTGGTTATTTCAGCTACTGCAACCCGAGCAGTGTGATGGGTTCATTATCCTAGATCAAGAGCACACCTGCCTTCAGTTTCCCCTCTTCGTTTCGATTTGATTGCTTGCTTCAGCGTTCTTAATTCTGATGCACAGTACTGTCCATTAATAGTTTTTCTCTTTTCCACGTGATCTATCATGATTACGCTTTAAAAAAAAAAAAAAAAAACAGAATCCGTCACTTTGTCAACAGACGCTGCCTGTTTGAAATTCTTCGAGGGTGGAGAACCAAAATATTTTCACTGTTGACTTTGAATCTTTGATTCAGGTTCGAAGCGTTCCGCTAATCTACAGTGAAAAGTCTCAGAGTAAACCGGAAAGTGAGTGTTCTGGCAATGTCAACCCATTTCAGCTTCTGTTCTGGTGTCGGTATTCTTGGGACCCATCTTGCAAAGAGATTGCTCATCCCCAAGTTCTCAGTTAAAATAGTATGGGCTGAGCCAGAACTAATGCCTATAGACTTAGCTATCTGCTGGATAGTAAGACGTCTGTCATCCAAAACCATACGCCGAATGGCATCAATTTGTTTATCAATGATTGAGGTCCTTGGACGTGCAGACCAGATGGTCACCTTCTGTGCTGTCCCTGCCCTGCTTGAAGTCGGCAGCCCACTTCTTCACAATTGCATAGGAAAGGGAGTCCTCAGCAAGTGTCTGTACCATGTCATCGTGGGTTTCCTTGGGTGTCATATCATTCTTTTTTAGATACTTTATGACTGCTTGAGCCTCTGTTTTGTCCATTTTTAGATTTGTTGCACACCTCACACATTTGTATGAGCCTCGCCTGCACACAAGACAGAAATCTGAATTAATTTCTAGTTTTATACGAAGTGGTAGTGTGTTGTGACAACAAAAATTTTCAGCTCTCTCTCTCTTCTTTCTTGTTGAGGCTTAGAACCCTCTGAACGATCCTCGTATAACAAGAATAACACAGGAATAAAATTGGCAACGCTGTTAGTGTCTTCTATCCCACGCGTCATATTCACCTGACCTTGGATCAACCGATTTTTTTACGATAGCTACACAACACTTTGAGGTGTGTGAGTGTGTGTGTGTTGTGTGTCTGTGTAGTGTGGAGGGGATTTCTCTAATAAAAAACAGATTCATGCATTTGTCGGAAAATTCTTTTCATAAAATCACCTGCCTAATTTTACTAAAAAGACTCGGAAAGGTATGAATCTACCTCTTCTCCCCCATGTATAGATTAATTAGTATAACTTATATAGTCAGTCAGTTATGTGCCATGCGTGATACACTTCTTAGGCGATCATGTATCTTTCGATACATGACTGACGAGGCAGATTTTTCTCGCAGTAAGTTACCATTTTTCTGCGGTAGACTAGTTGCCATCCAAGACTATAGAACCCAGTCTGTCCTGCTATTTTACCCATAGCTGGGGTAGAAAAAGAGGATTCATATCTTTCTCAAGGATCTTAGCACGTAAGTGAATGTAATGGAATTCGAACTCGGTTCTTCCGATTTCTCAATCCGAGCCGCTATCCTTTACTCAGCCGTAACTAAACCATTATCCTGTCTATATTTCTGAAATGAGGTATTGTAACTATTTACACTATTTACATTGTCCGGACTGTTGTTCTCGTCTTTATTGTTATATTCATGACGTTTCGGTCGTTGTACGCTCCAGACTTCTTCAGGATCTGTCTATATTTCTGAAATGAGATATTGTAACTATTTACACTATTTACATTGTCCGGACTGTTGTTCTCGTCTTTATTGTCATATTCATGACGTTTCGGTCGTTGTACGCTCCAGTCTTCTTCAGGATCTGTCTATATTTCTGAAATGAGGTATTTTAAGGAATTGCACTATTTACATTGTTCGGGCAGTTGTTCTCATCTTTATTGTCATGTAGACGACGTTTCAAATATTGGGCAATGTGTCACCAAGGACACCAGGTCCATTGGATAAAAGCGTCGGTTGAATTAATTCAGTGACTTGACCAAAAGAGTTGTGAGTTCAATCCCTGGCCACAGCAGAGGTGAACAAAAACTCAGAGAGTTGAGTTACTAAAGGGATATAACTCAAACTGAAGTATTAAAAAAAGGCATGACACGTGAAACTAAAGCAATCTACCTCCGTGGACTAAATAAAAGGTTCAGTTCGAAATTCCAACATATATCACCTGAAGAATGCCAGAGCGTACAACGGCCGAAATGTCGTGAATATGATAATAAAAATGAGGACAACAGTCCGAACTATATAAATAGTGTAAATAAACCATTAGTATCTCCGCCCCAGTCCAAATTCTTACAATCTAAAATTATTTTATGCCTTTAAATAACCCACAAAATGTTGATAAGCCGTAGAAAAGGAATGAATAAATCAGTCAATCAAACGTATCGAAGAATTGCTTGATTATTAGCAAGCAATAAATTCCAAATAATGGCGTGTATATAACTCAAAAAGAAATTGGACTTTATTTTTTGAAGAAGAAAATTGGTAAACACAAACAGAAATTATTTATGACTCAAAACATAATTTTGTAAACAAGCTCAAACCATCGTTAATTAGCAGACTTCGAGGAACACAATATAATATGATTGGAAGTGAGTTTCTGATTGGAGAAATTCATAAATCTAGCCTGTCATATGTAGACTGAAATCAAGCTAAAATAAATACTACAAGGCAACATCTAACATTTTATTTGCTCCTATGATCAATAATAATAATTGTGTCTAACGCTGCAAATGGTCAAAGAGGGAAAGCTTTCTCGGAATTGTTGGTAAAAATTAGGCACATACTGATGGCATGAGCTGAATTTGTATCAGACAGACATGTGAGAGCTGAAATAAAAAATGCTATTTCTTTCAATGTTAATTTGACTTGGTGCAATTTAATTAATTAAGCGTATTTTTTTTTATTTCTTGCAGACAGAGAATATGGAGACATTTGGTCAATCATGGTTAGTGGCGGACTACACCGATGGCGTTAATGTAAGTGAATGTAAAAATAATTGTCATCGACCAAGTCCATCGGACCAGTGTGATCCCAAAAAGGAACAACTGGCCAAATACCTTTGTGGCAAAATGGAGAAAGATTTTTACGTGAGTGACAATCAAACTTTATATTCTGCAATTTTAAGAAGAGTCGTTATTATTCCAAGAGTTGTTCGGAGAATTGATCTAATTCTTTTTTATTTGTTTTTTTAATATTACAGCTATTTCCTTCTAAGATCATATGAAAGGAAAGGGACCTCTTTTTTTTCTCTATCTCGGGAAGGCTAAAATGTAGAGATTAAAGAAGGCTATAAGATCATTTGACGAAAACTTAACAACAACAACAGCAAAAAGAAAAAGAAAGAAATGAAAAAAAATAGAAACGAAATGATCGAGTTCCATTGTCTCTAAAACACTTAGAATTCGAAGAAAACCAAATTATTTATATTTAAAAACGGTTTCCTTACATCAGCATATTGTAACTAGTACAATCACAACCACCATTAATTATGTGTGACTGAATATATGACAGCTAGTATTTGTTTAAATATCTCTGAAATACACTACAAATTTACATTATTCGGACTATATCTCTGAGATGACATATACACAGCATTCCAGCCCCTAAATCTCTGAGATGAGGTATTATGACTACTTACATTATTTACATTATTCGGACTGTTATCCTCATCTTCATTGCCATATTCACAACGTTTCGGCGGTTGTACGCTCCGACCTTCTGCAGGTGATTCGAATTTTTCTTCAATATCTGTTTGTACCTCTGAGATGAGGTATTATAATCACTTGCATTATTTTCATTATTCGGACTGTTATCCTCATCTTCATTGCCATATTCACAACGTTTCGGTCGTTGTACGCTCCGGCTTTCTTCAGGTGGTTGGAATTTCGAACCGAACCCCTTATTTTGTCCACCGGGGGGGTACATTGTTCTAGTTCCACGTGCCATGCCTCTTCCGGGCGTCTCAGTTATTTCCCTTTAACCCATCTCTCCAAGTTTGTTTCACCCCTCCAATGGTCGCATAGATAACGGCGAGGATGTATTAAACAAATGCGTTAAAGCATTCATTTACTCTAATGATTGCATATATAATGGCCACCATTTATGCAACAAATGCGCCAAGACGCATTCGCTATAATGATAGCATAATAGGTTTCTTGCAGTTCATTCAAATTTGATCTTCATGAATTGAGATGCAATGTCTTCGTCATCTACTTCTTCCTGTTCTATTATTGAGCCATATCTCGTTAATAATAGTTGTTTCTTATATTCTTTTATATTCTGTGTATCTTAGTGGCTTTACCGCCTTCTTTACTTGTAGATGGAAGGATAAAAACAAAAAGGAAAACATCTGTCAGATTCGGATTTATTAAACAAGTACACCAACCTTTTAATTCCCTCTAATGATGACATGTATAACGATTAGGATTTCCATGTAAATACTTACGACAAATTAATTCATTATTTCTTATATAACGACTGCTTATTAATCAAATCCGTCAATAGCCTCATTCAATCAATTCATTTCACACCCACACACACACATATATATATATATATATATATATATATATATATATATATATATATATATATATATATATATATATATATATATATATATCATAAAGAAGTAATTTATAAAAAGAATTAATTAGTAATGTTAATGAGATTAATGTCGAAATCACTACGCTAACAAGCCTTAATGAGACATTAATTTACTATCAATTGTTTGAATAATGCGATGCCTATATTTGAGTTGTAGTATATTTGAGTTGCTGTCAGATGGAATTGACGAGTCAAAGACTTTCGACAATTTCAAATAATTTTTCCATATATAGGCAAAACACTAAGAGAAATATGTGTAGTGTGGGTCGAAAGATGTGCTGCACACTCTAATATATATATATATATATATATATATATATATATATATATATATATATATATATATATATATAGATGAGTTATGAATTTTTGTACCCCTATGTTTCTGTGCCATAAATCGATAAAGTTTTGTTCTTCATGACTAATGAAAAAAAAAAAAAATAATGAAAAAAGCATTAATTTGTTTTCGTTCTTAAAAAGACCACTCCAAACCGGAAATTCTATTTTACCATATACACAATATGAGTAAAAATCGAAATATTTCAGAGGCTTTATTTTTTTAATTTGCTAATGATGTAATTGTATAGTAATATGTATTTTTGAACGGATTTAAAAGTTTATAGCCATTGCATAGCATACTTTACAAATAAACAAAAATATATTTATGAAAGAGGTATAATGATGCTTTCCATGAATCTAATCAATTACTTGATGTTAAGATGAAATTGATCTCGGAAGATACTGTAGTTTTTTCCGACCCATTGTACTTTCGATCTCCTCCAAGATCATCTTCAGTGGTAAATTACAAAGAAAAACTTATTGTAACTCTTATAAAATCCTCATTTCGTCGTGATGGTGACCTATATATATATATATATATATATATATATATATATATATATATATATATATATATATATATATATATATATATATATACGTGAACGCTGTTATAATTCTTTAAAATTTAAAATTTATTCGTTATAGATATGGAAGCGATCCTCGATGATTTTATCAAAACAAGCGTTCCTTGATTAATTTTTCGCAGATGAAGCATTTGTTGTGATCTACCTTAGACGAACATGCGCAACTTAACTTAATAGTAACTAAGGATCCCGCAGGGAATGAAGGCTTCCGGTGGATTTCATATATAAACCAGACATATTTTTTAAAATTATTATTATAGTATATTAAAGAAAGATAACTACTTCTTTTTCTTGACTTAATGTATTTTTTAATGTAGAGAATTTTCTCAAGTCGTAGTTCACGTATTAGTGATGTACAGTTCTGGTAGAAAAGACGTGGAATGTATATCTTAGATAGCACCAAAATGTCTTCTTTTTCTATTTATTAAACCCAAGTATAAAAATATAGACTCTCTTTTAAGCAGCACCAAAAAGCAGCCCACGTGCTGGTCAAAATCATAAGATGTTCATAAAAAATCTTTTATAAAAAAAACAAAGAACAATCAAAAAATAAGGCTCCTGTAGCATTCCCACAGAATTTATGACAGGGATATTTATGACAGAGGTATTTATGATAGGGATAAATAGGGGTATTTATTCTGGGGTATTTATCCTAGTGTATTTATGACAGGAATATTTATGACAGGGTTATATATTTTTTTAATAACAGGGATGTTTATAACAGTGGTCTTTATAACGCGTGTATGTATGATATGGGTATTTACGACAGAGAGTTTTACGACAAAAAAACAAAAAACAAAAACGAAAACAAACAAAAAATAAGGTTCCTGTAACATTCTCACAAAATTTTCGACAAAAAATAAATATTTATGACAGGAGTATTTATGACATGAGTATTTATCATATGTGTATTTACGACATGGTTATTTATAGCATGGGTATTTATGACAAGGGTATTTATCCTGGGATATTTATGACAGGGATATTTATGACAGGGGATTTTACGATATGGGTATTTATAACAGGGGTATTTTCCTGGGATATTTATGACAGGGGTCTTTACGACAGGGATATTCATGACAAGGATATATTTATGGAAAGGATATATTTATGACAAAGATAATTCCTGGCTTATAGATTTATTGATTTTTGTTTTCGTTCTAAAATATCGTTGTCTTTCTTTTTATCGCAGGAGTGTTTTGAGGCAATGGAACTAAATATGCGCAACCAATACCGATTCAGTTGTGTCTATGACTTGTGCCACATATCGGCAAACACTTCGGAGGGCATCTGTCAATTTGCCAACGCTCTATTGAATGAATGTCAAGTCAATATGAAGCTGAGCACCTATTCTTGGAGAGGCTATTGTCGTGAGTAAAAACAGTAGGATTTTTTTCTCACAAAGATCGCAGTGAACGTGGTAATTAATAAGCAAGACATGTGTTAGCCATTTTAATGACATTTTGTATGAAAAGTCAAAAGACTATCATCTTTCATTACTTTTATTATTTACATTCAGACTAATGTCCTCATCTTTCTTCTCACTACCACCTAGTCTTGGCCGTTGTGTTCTACGTCTTTCTTCGAACTAAGATCGTCATTTAATCTACACGGGTATATTGTGTTTCTTCTAATGTCCAGGTCTTGGTTTATGATGACTTATTCTTTGACCTTTTTTTTTTTTTTGCTACTGCTCAATTATGGCTACTCCTGTTCAAGACTGAGCCTGTACTACCCGGCTCGGGGATTGAACTCAAAATTACTAATTACCAATGATAACAAATTCCCCAAAATTTAGACGTGGAAAACAAAGAAAATATTGGTCATCTACATAAATAAAAACTAAATATAAGACAAAATGTTCTCTTATCGTCCGGGTTACACTCCTCCCATGTCTTTTGAACAGGAGTATTGATTTGCCACTTGTTTGATGTTTAGGATTGAGTTTCTGGTTCCTTCTAAAGTCTGCTCCATTTCTATATTTCTAATGTATCCGCTCCAAACTCTGAAATTTCATATACTATTTATTTTTTTTTTCATCAATAGGAGTAGATAGATTTGCCTGTTTTCCGCTTCACCCTTCTCCGCCCGGTCTTTTGAAAAAAGACGAGAGGTTTAACCTTTGCTTCCTGTTCACTATTCGGTTTCCGGTTTCTTCTAAAGTCTTTTCCTACTCTTTCACTTCCGGTAGCCCCTTGCGTCTTATTGGCGTTAGCACCTTGCTTGAGGTGGTACCATTTATTCTGTAACTCTCTACCTCGAGTGGCTCTTGGGCTTTGCAGAGGGGGAATAGATTGTAAAAGTAAATTGTTTTTTTTTTTCATACTCTTAGTAGGGTGACAGTTAATGTCTTTTTGATAAAATATACCACACACACACACAAACACACCCACACCCATATTTATATATATATATATATATATATATATATATATATATTTATATATATATATATATATATATATATATATATATATATATATATATATATATATATATATATATATATATATATATATATAAAATGTATATTTGGGAAGCAACCTTTCTTTCAAACGTGTTTCATTGAATTTTTATTGGTTTTTTCTCGTATTCTTAAATTTTTCCGTTTGATTGGGGTAAGGGAATCTCAAAAATACTTCATAATGTTTATTGTTCGAAGGGCTTTCAGACACTTTTTTTAGCCATTTTCAATGGGTTTGTTAATTTCTTTTCATGGTTGATGTAGTTATGTGATGTTTATTGAATGGTAGGAGTGTTTATTTCGAGTCCCGCGAAAGAAAAGTGGCTGGAATTCGAGTAGACGTTCTTCGATGTAAAAAAAAACAAACTTTAGCACAGTATTCCCGTTGTTATATAAAGTGAGATTAATACTGGGTGTCAGATGTTTTATGTAGAGTGTTTCTCTCAGAGTGAGATGTTTTCAGTTACGAGATTTATGGAGGATGATCGTATTATCAATTAGGATTTTTGTATTTGTTCTTGTAGATTGTAGGTGACTAAATTACTTTTTATGGCACTTTGGAGTGGTAAGTGACACGTTAGGCATCAGTTCAAAGAAGTAACGGTGTAACCCATATAGCTCAATGATTAATGACAAGAAACAGAGTCATCTACTGGGTACTTAAATTGATACACTCTGTTGGTCAGCGATAGTTTAGATTTTATAGAGTTGTTTCTATTAGCGACGGCAAGGTTGGCGGTTTTCCATTTTCTGTAATATAAGTTTTACTTGATTGTCAAGATTTACTGCTGTGTTTAATAATACATCGTCATGGTAAATTCGTCCTGTTTGTTACCATATTGCTTCTGTTTACATTATAATATGTTGATGTTTTATTTTATGGTATCATGAGTTTTTTCATGAACAATTTTGTTTCTTTATCGATGATGCATTATTGTTAACTGTAAATTGAAAATTATATATATATATATATATATATATTACACCAAAAAAACAAAATTACCCAATGTGGGTATAGTGTATTTCAGGCCGCCAAAGCTTAATGCTGATCGTCATCAGCCCTTGAATGCCTGTCTGAAATATATATTTATATATATATATATATATATATATATATATATATATATATATATATATAAATGGAATGGACAAAGTCCGCCAATTATTTTAAAGACATTTTTATGTTTATACATTCTTTTTATAGATACAAAATCTATAAAAAGAACGTATAAACATAAAAAATGTCTTTAAAAGATATATATATATATATATATATATATATATATATATATATATATATATATATATGCAATGTACAGGCATAGTAAAATAACCAAAGTCCTCTATGTATAACACAGAGCTTTATATAGTAAATTAAATAGTAAATTAAAACTATTTCATTAAATTTTGTTTTTTAGCTTTAAAAAATTTAAACTTCAATTGCAAGCAGTTGCCCGCCTCATATGAATCTGAATCGTAAAATAACTGCAAAGGATGCTATCCTATCAGTAGGTGAATAATATCGGAGCTTCTATATTTTAATTTGGTAAATAGATTCTGGTCGGTGGGGCCTCTCGTGCCCATGATGAAGAGCACAGTTACGTCCTCGCTTCGTGTCAGTTATTCTAGGCAAATCATTTTTAGGAATCACAAGGCTACATAGTTTCCTTACCCCCCACTACAAAATATATAACCAAAACTATCACACGTAAAAGAGTTAAACTCCGCCAAACTCATGCCAAAAGTAAACCTCAGCTACTTTAGTTCCTGGACTGACATGCGGGGTGTACGAGGCAGCTATCCGGAAGTTGAATTACATCTTTAAGCGGTTAAACTTGACTTCATGTCGCTAACTAAAACTGGACCGAACCAGTCTACTTCAGTTCAGAATTTAAAATTTCGGGTTAATCGCCCCTACTCCTAAAAGGAGACAGGGTTGTCTTCGAAAAGCTTGGTGCCTTTATCAAAAATAGTTTCCCCTGTAGCAGATTCCTAAAACTAGGATATTGAATTTCCATCCATGGACTTCCGCGTTCCCATCGTTCATAGATTGCCTTGACATAAACCATCAGGATGATGGTATGGAAATGGTTGATAGAATAGATGAGAGAATTGATGATATCCTCTCTAATTATCCCTCAACTACCATTCATCTTTGTGATGATTTAAATTTTCGCCATGATCAATGGCTAGCTCACTCAAACATAATCGAGGAGGATGATAAATATAGCCATGATTTCGCCATAGCATACGAACTGAACCAAGCCAACTCGTGTTCCCGATATTGCTGGGAATTGTACTGATTGGCTAAACATTTTTCTCACCTCCTCCCCCGAAAGATGTTTCGTTGAAGTGTTACCTCGCTTGTCTAATGGATGTCAGTTATCAGTTATCTCCTCTTTATTCCCCTCTCCAAGTTCACCACTGCCTTGGCCGGGTATTGAACTCACACTCTTTGGGTCCTGTCACTGGATCTAACCAAGGACACATGGCACAGTGGATAAAGGCGTTGGTTTGATCCAGTGACAGAACCCGAAGAATGTGAGTTCAATACCCGGCCAAGGCAGTGATGAACTTGGAGAGGGGAATTAACAAGAGATAACTGATAACTGACATCCATTAAACATGGCACGTGAAACTAGAACAGTCTACCCCAGTGAGACAAATAAAGGGTTCAGTTCGACATTCCAACCACCTGAAGAAGGCCGGAGCGTACAACGGCCGAAACGTTGTAATAAATATGGCGACAAAGATGAGGACAATAATCCGAATAATGTAAATAGTGTGATAATATCTCATCTCAGAAATATAGACAGATACTGAAAGGCCGAAAGTTTGTAATAAATATGGCGACAAAGATGGGGAAAATAGTCTGAATAATGTAAATAGAGTACATAATACCGCATCTCAGAAATATAGACAGATACTGAAGAAAGACGAAAGTTTGTAATAAATACGGCGACAAAGATGGGGAAAATAGTCTGAATAATGTAAATAGTGTACATAATACCGCATCTCAGAAATATAGACAGATAAAAAAGAATAAGGTTGAAAATGAAATAATGACGAAGGTGACCAAAAAGACGACGGTGGAGAAGGACAACAACAACAAAAAACAAACAAAAAGACACCAGCACCATCACCACCATCACCACCACCATTACCAACAACAACAATAATAATAAAAGCCTTGAAATGGAAGTCTCAAAACAGTGGCACGTGAGGATATCAGCAATTCCAGTTGTAGTTTGAGACCTCGATTTATTTGGAAAAACTTTCCGACAGATGCATTGAAAAGATCCCTTGTAGCCCAAGCCTCAAAGAAATGCCAAAAAATTGTACTCACAAGTATAGCTCACACATTACGGAGAGCTTAATATACGTAAAATATGGGTAATCTTAAGTATTTTTTCTCAAAAGAATGGTCAGTGAAAAATGTCATGATGCCATTTCTGACCTTAGGTTTCTGGTTGGGACCCGGAAAGAAATGAGTATACACTAGAATTCGAAAGAAATAAAATAATAATAATAATAATAGTGAAAAGAAAAGGAGATATGGAAGGAGAAGACGAAGATAACCAAGAAGACGGCGAATAATAACAATAATAATAATAATACACACTGACAGAACAATCAAGGCCAACTGGTCAGATATTGTTATTAAAGACCACAAACAAAAACGGTGCCTCCTTATTGATATGGCAGTCTCTGCTGACTGCAATGTATCTTTGAAGATATTCAAAAAGTTGTCAAAGTACAAGGACCTTGAAATAGAAATCTCGAAAATGTGGCATATGGGAACATCAACAATCCCTGTTGTAGTTGGAGCCCTAGGACTGGTTAGAAAAGATTCCAGTAGACTAATTGAAGGGATTCCTGGAAGTCCATGCCTCAAGGAGATACAAAAAATTGTTCTGACAAGTACAGCCCACACCTTACGAAGGGCTTTATCTATGTAATTTAATTTTTTTTTTTTTTGTCAGTGGAAAGTGTCATGACGCCATTTCTAACCTTAGGTCCCTGGGCGGGACCCGGAAAGAAATGTGTAAACGCCAGAAATCAAAGAAAATAAAAATAATAATAATAATAATAATAGTAGGAAGAAAATGCAGAATGTGAAGACAAAACTCGCTACAAAGATGGCGAATAATAATAATATCAATAATATTAATAATAATAATAATGGGAATAAAAAGAAGATGCAGAATGTGTAGACAAAACTAGCGACAAAGATGGTGAAGGATAATAATAATAATAATAATAATAATAATAATAATAATAATAAATTTTTTTTAGAAAGATGAACAGTGTAAAATGTCATAAAACCATTTCTGACCTTTGGTCTCTGTTTAGGACCCGTTTAGGATCTGTTTAGGACGAAATGTGTATACAGCAGAAATCAAATAATAATAATAATAATAATAATAATAATAATAATCATCAAGTGTATGTAATTTTATCGATATATGTATTTTTTTTTTTACTGCAGCAAGGAAATGCGGCAGAAATCAGGAGTTTAAACTCCGTCGAAAGGTCAGCGACTCGAGAACTTGCTTGAAAGTGAATCAAAAAATCCTTAACGCATACGTTGACGATCCTCACAGCAAATCCGAAGGTTGCTTTTGCCGAAAGGGTTACGTCATGCAGGATGACGAATGCATCAAGGAGGAGGATTGTGGTTGCACCTACAACGGCACTTATTATTCGGTAATGAAAACAATATTTTTTTAACACTGAAAATTCTAGGAAACTTTATAGTTCTTCAAGTAGATATACAGACAAACCTCTCATCAATTAATAGGGTGTGGGGTGGTCTGTTAAAGCTTATTGCCCGTAGATTGGAAGGGATTATTTTTTAATTATAAAACCAATATAGTAACTACCAGTAGTTATGATCATAAATATTATAAACATGTATATATGGGATAAATAAATATATAAAATACTGTATATATACTGTATAAATAACAGATTTTTCACAGTTACTTTCACGCACGCGCTAATGTATCGTAATTTATATACTGTTCCTCAATCTTTGGTTACGTTTGAAAGGCCCGCCAGCGCCGCCAAGCGGTCACTTTGAGAACTCGTTCAGTAAAGCCCGCAAATTTTGAAATATATCGCTGAGTATTTGGAAGTATTTTTTTTCCTGCAGATTTTTATTTTGCCTGCAGATTTTGCGCGTTGCATCCGAAGTCCGTTGATGGGGGGATGTCCGTAGATGAGAGGTTTGTCTATATATATATATATATATATATATATATATATATATATGAAGAAATATAATCTTAAGATGTGCTATATTTATGGGATAAAGTGCTATCAGACATTGTGTACATATAAAAGGGAACATAAAGTGCACTTTGACAATATCAGACGAGATTTTTCTCGTCTATTTATATATATATATATATATATATATATATATATATATATATATATATATATATTTATGAAATGGACAAATCATGTTTAATACTGTTTATTATAAACAGAGAATTTACTTAAATATTTGTATCTATAAAAAATGTATAAACACTTAGAGACATCAATCGTATATATATATATATATATGTGTGTGTGTGTGTGTGTAGTCAGACGAAGTGGAAAATATTGAGCAAAAGGCGTTTCGCCACCGGAGAAAATGTCTGTTCTGTTTCTTTAGTTTTATTTTTCTGTCTTTGAGGATAATTATTATCGTACATGAAATTTATTATTATATATATTTTATCTGTATATGTTTGCTATAGCGGGATCATATTTTTATAATTATAATAATTATTATTTTCATATCTATGATGCTTTTTTCATATAACACTATGAAAGTTTAAAAAAATATTTTATAGTAAAAGATATGCAATGATAATACTAACAATAAACTGTATGAAAAAAATAAAATATGTAAACAACTAAAATTACGTGATATCCTACAATCCTTCACGCGAACATGCAAAAAAGCTGAGTATCATCTACCATGTATTCAATTGCGAAAGCAGAATAACATATATATATTTATTACTTCAAACATCCAAAGAAAATTAAATTTCGGTTAAATGACTCACAAAGAGATGATGTGCTGTTAAAAGATAAATCTTAACGGCATACCATGCAATGATACTATTAAACATAAAATAAATATGTATATATATATCCATACTGTACAAGAGATATATATATATATATATATATATATATATATATATAGAGAGAGAGAGAGAGAGAGAGAGAGATGGGGTGTGATGGATCAATTGTCTGCTTGCAGTCTGGGGAGTTAGGTGGCCAGATGCAAGCGGTGATGTGGTCGCAGAAATTGTCTGATATCCACGACTGGTTTCTCCTGCTTGTGTCGCATGGTGCAAAGTTCTATTGCCAACCACTTTCTTGACCCAGGACAGCACTACCTTCTCAAGGCACAATGTAGGCCTCCATGTTGAGTTTGAGGTCCTGTGGGAAGATGAATGGAGGCATAACGTTGCCATCACCAGTGATCACTCCAAGCACCTTCGTAATCACCATCAGACTCATCCAACTGTTTCCAAATCCTTTGCACTGTCCTCAGATTGACACCCAAACACTCTGTAATGTTAGTATTGGAGCTATCTGCGCCAATGCCAAGCAATAAAGCATACCATTTCCAAATTTCTTCTGGAGTGAATTTTGTCATGTTGCTCATTTGCTCATTGACCCTACTATATTCTGCAATCGACAAAATCGAAAACAAAGTACAAGCATGCGCAAATATTATATATATATATATATATATATATATATATATATATATTATATATTAGTAGTTATCCTACAGGTATAAGAAACTACACTCGTTCGGAAAACCTTCGCTGTCTTGATTTGCAAATGATCAAACCAATACCAAAGGGAAAAAAAGGTATAAAAAAGAAAGAACAAAGAACATGTACGTTAGCCGAAAATAACCGTCTAGCATGCAAGTCCAAAGTCCAAAGAAAAAAAAAACCGATACGAGTAAGCAAAACAACTAAAAAGAATGCTCAATACAATAAGTAGAGCAGACCTCGTTAAACCTAGAGAACCAGACAAACCTACCAAGGTCTGACCTAAGCGGATCGTCAGGGAAGGCTGGCTCAGCCTTGGTAGGTTTGTCTGACTCTAGGTTTAGCTATATATATATATATATATATATATATATATATATATATATATATATACAATAATAGTTTTATCTTTTAATTGTTTTTGCTATAGGTTGGAGCTATCGTAATCAATGAAGGATGCAAGCAATTCGCAAAATGTGCCCGAAACAATACTCTAATATTTGAAACTCTTAACTGCTCCAAAGATGCTGACTGTGGCGTCCGAGATGGCATATATGGTTGTTATTGCAAGGATGGATTCGTTGGAGATGGCATCCATTGCTCTAGTAAGTACAAAATTAAAATGCTTTGTTTTCAGATCGTAAAAGTATGAGAACTGATCCAAAAGTATCAGGACTGGCGCTATAAAAAGAAAACTACAACGCATATCAATTCGGTATTTAATCTCCTTCGAAGTAGCCCCCTTCTGAAACCACACACTTTATCACAGCGTTGTTTCCATTTCCAGTCGCTTTCTTGCATTCTCTTGCATTGCCTCGACGTCTTGAAATCTTGTTACTTTCAAGTTGGATTTGATTATTGGAAAATGTCAGAAGTCGCAAGGGGAGAGATCTGGGAATGTTGTCCTTGGCCCACAACAACTCCACGGGCCATAGTCACTGATGGAACGTCTGTGGTGTGGTGAAATAGCCACTCTCTATACACTTTCCTTCCAAGCACTGGTATAAACAGTGACCGAGAAAATTATAATTTAGTGTGTATACAATCTGATTAAAGTTGTTTTACTAGGCGACTATGCGTACTTTAACGGAGTTACGGTATCAACAGTCCCGATATATTTATATTACGTTAAGCAATTACAAACAACAGCGTCATTATATTTTCAGTATATAGTAAATTGTTATATAGGAATAAAGTACCGACACTGGAATTTGAACACAGATCACCAGAGAGCAAACAGAGGCGATCCCATTTTGAATAAGTAGATCACGTGATGGCAAAGGGAACGCATTTATGGGAATTAGTGTGGCGTCTAGTTGATCCTCATTTCTAGTTTATCCTCTATTATTATACGGATCACCATTTCTATTCTATCCTCTATTACTATACGGATAGCTATTCTCTATACTATCCACTACACTATTCTCAATACCGATCACTACACGGATTACTATTTGGTAGTTACTTTCCGGACGAGTATTATCGAGCAAGTATTATTAGTGCGAGTGATATTCGGAGGCATCTGACATCAGTATTGTTCAACGGCGTTACTATAGTTGTATCTGCGATTACAAAGTCTCTACTACAATGAGCATTACGAAAGTGGCAACGAGTGTTTGTTGACGTCACAAAATAAATGACTTTTAACATTTTTAGGCACGGTATCTACAATTGCTCTGAATGGAAACATAATTTCTGCTATACAGTGGCACAGATCAGTAAAAGATGAAAAATGAAACTGTTGATATGTGGTCCGGTTTTAAATAAGTATATTGAGACATTTCAGGTTTAATAATTATTTAATGAGAATAAACACTTGTTGAATAAGAATATTAATAACGTGTCAATTCAGACTATTCGCAAATTTTTAAAAAAATTTAATTCTTATGACAGACACACAATTATGTTGATATAATCGGCATTTGGAATGAAGGCTGGTGTTTAGTAACACAAGTGGACTTCCATTTTGTAGATTTTGAGTGAAGTTCTGCTTTTCATATAGTTAGTAGCAGTTTATTTCCCTTGTCCGACTTTCACTTTCATTCACTCTTGTTAAAAACTAAACACTTTTCATCGCTCTTCACAATTTCTTCCGAAACGAAATGTTTTTTCTTACGTTAAAATTGCGAATCGTACAAATAAATATAATAAGGTAAGTTTATTTTCATGTAATTTATATGGAAGATACACATCAAAGTGACTAACACAATTAAGTAAATGATTTATGGTACTTGATACAGATATGTTGAATAGATTGGCTCTTGTCGTATAACGTTCAGTATATTTAAGCTATGTCTTCATTTGATCTTCATGAACTTCAACTAATCACTTAGACAATGGAGCAGCGTTCAACGTGAAATGTCTATCAGGAATCGTTGCAATACACTTTTGATATGTTTGATAATTTTCATTACCTTCTCCAGAAATTTCTCCAATATATTTTGCATGACAGAGTTTTTAAAAAAATTTTAAAAAACAAAACAAAGATAAAATTTGTAAAATATCGCTTCTTTTAAATTTTCTGAAATGTTAGAAACAGTCCCGCCAATTTTGAAAGGGCTTTAATATGATAGCTATGAAATTGGAGATGTTGGTGATGTTTGTGATTAATTGGTGGTAATATTATTAAGAAGAGGAGGATGAAGAGAGAAAAGAGAGAGAGAAGAGAGAGAAAGGAAAGAGAGATAGATAGATAGATAGAGAGAGAGAGAGAGAGAGAGAGAAAGATAACCGTTTATATGTATATATATATATATATATTTTTTTCAGCCGATTATTGTAGCCTACCAAACATGAATTGTACATCCGATTCAAAGTGTGTCAGTGCAGAGAAAGGTTTTTACTGCACATGCCTGGAAGGCTACAACACTTACTGCGACCGCTGTGAAGGTAAGTCAAAGCTCACCCTACTGATATTCTTGTGTTTCGATTCCTGGCTTTAATGGGAAGACTGTGGTGCGCCTTTAAGAAATATGCATGCAAACGCACAATGCAGTTTTGGTATCATTCAAATGAAACGTATATATGGTGAAAGTCATGATTGATATCGAGAGATAAACTTGTTAACCATTACACTATGTCCAAGTGAGAAAGTTATAGCGGTTTTCTAAGTGTAGCTTAGATGTGGTGCACGTATGGGGCAGTGAGAGTCGAATTCACGAGTCAGTCGTAATTGATTTAGTGAGACAAGCTTGTTAACCATTGCATCATATAAAAATACCCAAACCCACACATATATGAGAGAAAATTGAAGTCCGTAGCTTGACACGCAGTTATTAATTGAATATTGATCTGAAATTTTCCCTGTATAATGTTCGGATAAATGATGATTACGTCAAATAACATTTCTTTTGTTTCCACCTGTGTCCAGGCTGGTGAGGGATAGACATTTCTAACCGAGACACCATTGCCAACCAAGATTAAAAAAGCGTCTGTTACACCATTTGATTAGGACTCGTCGGAGGTACGGTGGAGTAATAGGTTGTTGCTCGAGTTGATAAATCTGAGAGCAGAGTTCGAATTCCAGTCGAGTTCATAACATTTATTTATGTGCTAATACCCTTGTGAAAGGTATGGATCCATCTCCCCGCCCCAGCTAGAAGGACGGACTGGGTTCTATAGTGGGTGGTAACCTGTGTAGGTGAAGGAAAACTTTAAATTCAAACCAGTCTGGAAAGGGTTGGGCCCTGTCAGGCTAAGTTGCCCAAGATACACCACTTCTGCAGCTGCAGGTCATGGGGTGCCCCAGCGACTGGACTATTGATCGGGATCTTTACTACGTACAGGCACAACCATTGAAGGCTTCCGGAGAGTTTTTCTTGACCAAATTCCCTTACAACGCTTTAGCCAATATTTAGTATACTTTTCAGCCACAACGGAATCGTCTTCAGAGAATTATATTATCAAAAAATTACTTCCTTGACAATGGTAAGATACGAACCCTCGTGAACAGAATGCTAACTCGGCAATGTGCCTATTATTTACGTTTTACTTTTATGTGATTAAATGTTCCTCACTGAATTAAGTGCGTTAGCAAATGAAAACACCGAATTCAAAATCAAGGACATTAACTTGCATATCATCTTATTGTTTCCTTCCGACAATTCTTGTAGCTAAGCTGATACCAAATACATATCGCTTTCCAAAATTTGATGAAACTTTGACACACTTATCAAGTCAGAAGTGGATTAAATATCAAATTGGCACTGCCGCCCAACACTTTTTTTTCTTAGCTCTTAAGGACATTTTCTTATATCTTAATACATTGCTTAGTTTCTGTTGTGCTAGGATCCACCTAATTTGCATAGTGGAGTACCGACCATATAAACATGGTTGGTACCGGGAAGACGGGGGGAGGAATCAAGAGATTCAATCCAGAGACTCTGCCCGACTGCGACTAAGTCAACACATTCTCCAGGAACGGTCTTCCCAAGAATATACAAAAGACTATATGTAAATATTGTGTACACTTTCTTGTTTCAATACATTTTGTTCTAAGTACATTTTGTGTTGTATTATTATTCCATGCATTAGTCAAGTTTCAACAGTTTCCTATGATCTGTCGAATCTTTATGTAAATATTCCGTTGCCTGTTTCGACACTAATAGATAATTAACTTTTTGTACCTTTTTGATTTGGAACATCTGATTACATTTCATAATGTCCCCTTCAAGATGGCTCTCATGGCTCTCAACATCATGTCCTGGGCATGACGATAAACTACATCCGGCAACAAGGCCTTTGATCAGGAGAGTGGAGGTTTTTAATTGCGTTGAGCCACCTCTTAATTGCTGTTGTGCCCAGATCCACCCTGACTCGGGACGGTAACACCCATTAGTGTCCCAGATAATAGTGAACAGTCAAACAAATATCAATAGTATATTTATATAGTAAAATAACCAACAATACATTTCATGATCTAAAAACTATCTATCAAAAAACATTCTTTTACTCTGGGAGTACAAAATTATATAAAAAAAAAACATCTGTAGTTGGAAGGATAAAATTGTGTTCAAAATATTTAGATTTCGGCATTGCAAAGAAAATCACCCAGCCAAAGAACATGAAAGAACTATTTCATGACATTAGTCCATATAATAGTCTATAATTTCTTAAAGATATCAAACTGTTTTCCAAAATAAAACTTCAAACAAATTTCAACATAAAACACACATAATACCACCCTTAGTAATTACGTCTACACAAACATGTATATCCCCCCCCAAAAAAAAAAAAAAAAAAGAAGCTGAGTATCATCTACCATGTATTCAACTGTGAAAGCAGAATAACGTATATCATATTTTTATTACTTTAAACCTCCCAAGAAAATTAAATTTCGGCATTAAATGACCGATAAGGAGTTGATATGCCGTCAAACAAACAAATCAAATCATGGCTCTCCACAGATACCTTTTCTTTATTATCTTTGAATTACCATGTCTGCTTAGGAAATAAAGTGGGGGTCTAGTTTGCCGTTCATTCTCCACAGCTTTATATCTTTCTTTTGGACTGGCTGTAATCCAAGATTAGAGATCCCGCTTTATTTTGTTGTTTAACCCATAGCTCTGGACAGAAGAGATAGATTCATACCTTTCTCAAATCAATTAATGCAAAACTAAAGAAAAATCTAGGTGAAATTCGAACGTTTTTCGCCCATTTTCTATTCTTCGTTGATAACGGTTACATTAAAGGCTCATAGCAGATGTTATGATGGAAGTAGGATTAAGTTTGAATAAATAATGAAAAAAATTCCTCATAGAAATTCGAATAACCTAATATTATTACCTCTGAAAAATATGCCCTTTCAGAATGCGCCTTCTGTATGATATTTTAAATACACCCTTGTGTAAATTAATTGAAACAGCTGCTTTAGTTTCCTTTCTTTCATCATACGGTCAATTTTAGACCCACTGGAGTGATAGGGTGTAATAGATTTCTGTTTTTTCCTCAGATTAGGTCAACTGCAGTGATGTGCAGTAATATGAATCTATTTTCGGGGTGTATTATTAAATTTTTCCTTGAAAATATTGCGTCATCCGTGATTGCATCAGATTTTTATCTCGCCCAGACACTATTGTTTCGACTGTCGATTAGTTGTCTTATGGCCATTGTCTGCGCCGGGAATTCCTCCAAGGGGGCCTACGAAAATTTGTAATGCCGGACGAACACACTGACAGGCCTTACCAGTTAGCAAATCAAAGTACTATAGACTGGACCGGAAAATCTCCCGTTTTAAATCCAATCGAGAATCTGTGGTCAATCTGCAAGGAACAACTTCATGGAATGGACATACGAAGTACTAATATGTGCACCGGGTCATGTTTCATTAGGAAAATACGAAAAAAAAATGCAAATAATAACGTAATTATTCGTTTTGTTTCAATTTATTTGCACACGGGTTTTAAATTACGAGTTTTTAAGCTAAATAAACATTTTTGTGACACCTGTCAAAAATTCTTTAATCAGTTACTTAATCTATTTGTTTATTTTAGATATTGATGAATGTAAGACCGGGACCCACAAATGCGACAGAGTAGGTAACTGTATTAACACTGTAGGTTCTTACAGGTGTACATGTCCTGAAGGTTATTATTTGGATAACAAGAAATGTAGAGGTAAGTTTTTTTTTTTAATTATTTTGATTAAATTCATTTTAATTATGATGTTTTGTTTAAGCTTCATCTTTGGTTTACGATTCTTTCATTTTGTTTATGTCTTGTTTATAAAATTCTTGTTTATGATCTTTCGTCTATGACGGAAAATTTATGACATATTGTACATGATTGTTGTTTGTGATTCATTTTAGGACATTGCTTGTTTTGTTTATGTGTTTTATTTATGATGTTTCATTTGCTATTATTTTATGACTTTTATTTATGATGTTAGTCTATTTCATTAGGATTTTTATGATGTTTTTATCTATCATTGATTTCATAATCTTTTGTTTATTCTGTTTTTTATCATTGATTTTATTGTTTTTTGTTCATTTTTTATTTTGTTTACTATACTTTATTTACCACTGATATAAGTTTTGGTCTAGGATTTTTTTCTATTGTTTCATTCTTGTATGGTTTACGTATTTTTTTTTTGCTTATTATTTTTGTTTTTGCGTTATTGTTTGTTTCATTGTGTTAGGACGTTACAATTCTGCTAAGTTAGTCAAGTAAAAAGACTTAGTATTTTATCAATATATATAATTTGATCACAGATTACCATTAAGAGAACACTAAAGGTTGGTTTGTGTTTAGATTTGAAAAAGCCTTATACGAAATAAAAAGTGGAAACTTTGTTTTCTTGCCTGCATGCATGGCACCTTTCGGGATAAAACTTAGTACCCATGTAGCATAAGAAGAATTAACAGTAACAGAAATACAGAGAAATGAATGTAGTATATATTCGACCGAGACACTAGTTTAGAGCGAGAATGAGCGTGTACACACACATACACATCATATATATATATATATATATATATATATATATATATATATATATATATATATATATATATGCTTGTGTGTATGTATTTAGGCAACAATCCATCTTTCATGCACATCTTTCATTGAATACGACAGACAAGGTATTTTTATTTAGTATTTTATACAATTTTTCATGCGATCTAATAATTTTTTTATTTACTCATGATAAATTATGTAAAACTGTCCGAATGTAATGAAATCCTTATGAATAGAAAAAATAAAACCAACACTTAATAATATTAACTTTGAACATGAACACAATATCTTGACCGTGTTTTGAAAAATGAGAAATTGTATAAAAAACTAAATAAAAACACCTTGTCTGTGGTATTCAATGAAATGTGCATATATATATATATATATATATATATATATATATATATATATATATATATATATGTACAAATTTATATTTGATCAAAAAATCTTTCTATATATATATATATATATATATATATATATATATATATATAATATATATATATAGGTGTGTGTGTGTGTGTGTGAAAAAGTGTGTGTATATAAATATATATATATATATATATATATATATATATATATATATATATATAGTTATTTATATATTATATGCGCGGTACTTATTAGAAAGCGCTCAATATCAGAGATAAAGCTAACATATTTGGTTGGATTGATGTGAGTTTGTGACCCTGACGATCGCAAAAGCGTGAAACCCAGGGTCACAAACTCACAGCAATCCAACCAAATATATATATATATATATATATATATATATATATATATATTGTATTTAGACAACAAATGTTTTTAAGGAAAATGTTATTAAAGATGGAAGACATTTTTGTGTCGATTAATTCTATTGCTCAACTATTCCAAATTACGAATAATAAGATAATGAGGAATTTCTGTCAATAATCAGCCAAAGTTCATTTCAGAATAAATAGGCTTCAAACTTTCATCTTCTTTATATCATCATCAGTAAAGTGTGTGATGGTGTCGGCCAGGTGTGAGTGTGCCTGTGCTTTACATATAAATTTAAGGCTGTGGGCTTTTAAATTATAATTGTTTTTACTTATAGATGTTTGTTTTCGTTTTGTGAGTATTGCTTTGAAGATCATATGTCTATTATATCACAAGATCCTTCATCTATATATCAATTATCAAAAATGTTAAACTGATTAATCAAATCGTACTTACCTACTAAATACAGTATAAACTCTACTAATGAATTATTACAAATTCTTCACAAACGTCAGGACGAACTCTTAGCATTTTTAGACGTTGGAAATAGTTCACTGTTAGCGTCCAGTAATCAAGTATATTATCACGTTCACCAGGGTAATATTTTTCAATATTTATATCCAGGCTGACGGCGTCACTATGGGAAGACCTCCGAGTCATTTATTTTTAAGCTTTTATATAGACTACTTGAAAAAAAAAATACAGTTAATAAACGCCCCCATTTACGTCAGATATAATCATGTCATCTTTATACAAAGCAAATTCGTTAATCACATTATGGAAATTAAATAAAAAAAAAAAAAAAAAAAAACTACTGACAAAAAGTAATCTGTCTATATCTCTGAGATGAGGTAATATGATTATTTACATTATTTACATTATTGAGATGTTATCCTCATCTTCATTGTCATATTTACAACGTTTCGGCCGAATAATTTAAGTAAAAGAAAAAGGAATCGTTACCGGAAGTAGAAAAACTCTTTTCCCTCTCAAATTCCAAACGCTTCGTCGGCTAAAAAAAATCGAACGGCTTTTCTAATTGATTCCCAAATGTTGTACCTTGCAGATATTGATGAGTGTGACATGAACACCCACAACTGTTCCGCCCATTCCCGTTGTTTCAACAAAGGAGGGGGATTTGACTGTCTCTGTTGCTCTGGATACACGAAAAAGAACGGCAAATGTGTGGGTAAGTATTTTCTTCGGTCAACTAAGGCTGGATAGTGAGCTGCAGAGTATATATTAAAAAAAGAGTGTATACACACACACACACACACACACACACACACACACACACACACATATATATATATATATATATATATATATATATATAAATATATACATATATAAATATATATATATAAATATATATATATATATATATATATATATATATATATATATATAATATATATATATATATATATATATATATATATATATATATATATGCATATAAATTATGAAGAAAAAATAAACACACACACAAATGCAGACCCCCATGATGACACTAATTAATAATAATTTATGTCCTATTAAGAATAACATACTTGCTATTACTCCCCCAGCATATTTAATACCTTAAAACAATATGATCAGATATAATTTCCATATGTAACCATGAGAACAAACACCTATTACCAGGCAGCTTTAATATAATAACAATAATAATTTTGTAATTAAAAATAAAAAATTATATCAATCTTCAACTACCATAATTTTACACAGAATACCTATTATCAGGATTTATACCAAAATAAATTAATACACATAACAAAATAAAACAAAAATAAAATAAAACACCAACAACCACTTTTTAGTTCAAGCTAACACCACTATAACTACATTCATGGTTTTATCATTCTCCCACCACCGTTACTAATCATTTCTACCAATTTGCAATTTCTTCCAATTTACAATAACTATTAGCTAAATATCATTGTCGCCAATCCATTGAAACATTACTATCACATCATATCATATAGACCCGTTATTAAATTGAACCACCCTCTCACCCAGTGTATTAAACATCACCATATAAATTAAACAATAAGGATTACAAATTTTTACCTGTTACATGTACACAGTCACCAAAAACAAACAGATAACCAGCTTTAAATATAACAAATAAACCCCCATTTTTTTTCAAAAATTTAAAAATAAATATAAATAATAATAATTTTTACCTATTATAATTTTACACAAACCCCACCACACGTATATACATACATGCGAGGAAATATTTTTCAGCGAAAAAAAAAAATACATAATATGACATGTATACAGTCACGAGACACTAACGTGACATTTCCGCCACACTTCCAATGTTTAAATTTCAACATTTCAACATACAAATGCGTATGTATAGATATAACACCACCCGTATACATACATGTGTCATAGCCAAAACTGCCCACATACGTTTTTATATGTATGAGTCCCGACGGACGACCAAGTATGTATATATGTCTGCATATATCGATGTTTGCGTTAGTACGATGAATGACAAAACGACGAAATTTCCCCCACCACTTCCACAATAACACCAATACACGCAATCTACATAAATCCATTTTTTTTTAAAACATTAATCAGTTTGTCTGACGATCGCTAAAGCGTGAAACCCAGGGTCACAAACTCACATCTATGCAACCAAATATATATATATATATATATATATATATATATATATATATATATATATATAAATTGGTGTGACCTTTTTCATCCTTAAGTGATGTTTACATTGATGTGATTACATATGTACTTGAAGGAGAGGGGTATATAGTCTACCCGATTTTTATTTAGTTTTATTTTCTTTTGGTCTCCCACATTGTGATAATCCAAGATCAGCCAGGAAACGTGAAATGTAAGAACATGGACGCAAATTTTCTGTATATGATATGGCGCTTAAACCCCTTTCTGTATACTTTTGTTTTAGTAAATTGATTTCTCTTTTAATTACTTAGCATTTTTTGATTCAAAATTGTGGTCAGACTTACTCCGGTGGACAACTAATGCACTAAGTCTGTTCTGTCCATATGAACTTGTTAAACTGAAGCAACATTCAAGAGACACTCATAATTGTATTCACTGTACGACCAACCGTCAGTAATACTCGTTTTCTCACCACGCTATACGGCTGGAGGCTGATATATACAGGGGTTGGACAAAATAATTGGAACAGTTGCAAAATCCACTCCTATATTTCAAAGACATATTATATTAAGAACTTTAACTAAAACTTCGTAACTGCAGGTAATATCTATTGTAAATACATTTATTTATCTAATTAACTGTCCTTGTCTTATTTATTTTTAGAATTTAGTAAAATTTAAGCTAAATGCATGACCTCTCCGAGTTCGAAAAAGAGAAAATTGTTGGAGCTCGCATAGCAGAAGCCTCGGTCCCTAAGGTTGCTGAACTGTTTGGTTTTTTCAAGAGCTACCATATCAAGAACACTGATGCAATTCGAGAAACAGTGCAAAACCTCTAGCTACCGTAGCAATACGGGCCGGACTTGCAAACTTACTGACAGGGACTGACGTGCATTGAAACGCAATGTGGCAAAAAATCATCGGACGAAGTGACTGCTGAGTTGAATAGCCATCTGAATAGATCAGTTTCTACTAAAACTGTTCACCGTGAGCTCCCTAAGGCTGCATATCATGGAAGAGGCGCTGTGAGGAAACCTCTTCTCTCCACTCGCAACATTCAAAAGAGGTTGAAGTGGTGTAGAGATCACAATGCCTGGTCTGCAGACCAATAGAAGCAAGTCATATTCTCAAACAAGTCCAGTTTTTCTCTTTTCCCAACTTCAGGGCGAGTTTATGTGTGGAGGCAGCCCAAAGAAGCTTACAACCCTGACAGCCTTCTTCCGACAGTGAAGCATGGAGGTGGATCAGTGATAGTTTGGGCCGCCATATCATGGAAATGTCTCAGTCCAATAGTTTCCCTGCATGGTAGAATCAACAGCAAAGATTACCTGAACATTTTGGGAGATCATGTTCATCCAATGGCCAAGACTTTATTCCCTGATGGTGACTGCATCTTCCAAGACGATAATGCTCCAATACATACCGCTCGAGTTGTTAAGAATTGGTATGAAGAGCATGAAAGTGAGCTAGAACACATGGAGTGGCCTCCCCAATCTTAAGATATCAATATTATTGAACATTTTTGGTGCATTTTGGGGCAACAAGTTGGGAACCATATCCTCCACCGTCGTGTCGTAAAGAACTGGAGAAGGTTTTAATGGAAGAATGACTGAAAATTCCTCTGGATGAAGTCAGGAAGCTGTATGATTCCATTCCTAGACGTATTAAAGCTGTCTGTGAGGCTAAAGGAGGACCAACTCCATATTAAATAAATTTTCTTTGAATTTAACAAGTGTTCCAATTATTTTGTCCAACCGCTGTATTTTGGCATATAAACAACGTACGAAACATGAAGGAAGCTATATTTGCGAAGATGGTCTTTTATTTTTTTAATTATTTCCTTCCAACCATGACAATAAAAGTCACTTGGGGGTACTGAAATTAAAAGAAATATATAGGACAATAAAAGAACAGATTTCAAGGCGACAGAGGATGACGAATGACATTGCATTAAAAATTTTCAAGATCGTAGTTGAAAGGGAAGCAGGAAGAGGGAAGAAAGTTCCACAAGTGAGAAGGCAGTTTAGACAAAGGGAAACAACACTTGACTGATCAAATGAGCTTGCGTAAAAGAATGGTAGAAAATGAAGTGAAAAGCTAATAAAAAGCAAACATTACTAAGAGCAGCTAAGGAGAGGAAATTGCAGAGAGCCATGATCGCTCACGACCCGAAGGGACATGGTACATAGAAAAAGGAAGAATACACGTGTTACGATCAGAATTGGAATTTTTTTTAGTTTTGTTTTGTATTTTTAAAAAACGTTCTTTAACATTTGACCTTTTCCATTGTTGTTCTGAGTCTGTCTATATTTCTGAGATGAGGTGTTATGTACAGTATTTACATTAGTCGGACTATTGTCCTCATCTTTGTCGCCATATTTGCCACAATGTTTAGGACGTTGTACGCTCCGGCCTTCTTCAGGTGGTTGGAATTTCGAACTGAACCCTTTATTTAGATCACTGGGGTAGACTGTTCTAGTTCCACGTGCCATGTTTAATGGATGTCAGTTATCAGTTATCTCCTGCTAATTTTCCCTCTGAAAGTTTTCCACTGCCTTAACCAGGAATTGAACTCATCTTCTTTGGGTCTGTCACTGGATCTAACCAACGCCTTTATCCTTGAGGACATCTGGGTATGAACTTCTGATATTATAAACCCTATGTTTTCAGCATCATTTTTACCAGTGCTCATATTGCAATTTTGCTGTTATCATTGGATGTCTTTACCAGAGTTCATATTGCAAATCTTTGTTATCATTGCTTTTCTCTGGCACTCCTTATTACTGGTTCCCATATTGTATTTATTTCTATGCTTGGTCTGCTCAAGAGATTTTTGTGGCCTAGCATATGTGCTGATTCCCTAAGTTTACAATTTTCCAATGGTGTTCCCTGTCTATGATCTCAACATGATCCCACAGGGGCGGTGATCTCCTTCTCTCTCCATATGTGGTCAGCCACGCCTGATTTTTCTATTTCCCTCGCATTACAGTTTTTTGGTGTTCTTGAAGCCTTACCTTGAGGGGGCGGCCTGTCTCTCCTTTATATTCCTTTCCGCAGCTGCACGGGATAGCGTACACACAGTCTTTAGTCATGTTACCTTTTGTGGGGGGTCTCACTCATGAGAGATATCTGCGAAGTGTTGTCACGCTTTTGAAGGTTGTTCTGATGTTATATAGACCGCAGATCCTTTGTATTTTCTCTGATAACCCCTTCACATGAGGCAGGCAGACTGTTTTCTGAGTGTTGTTGTCCTCCTCCTCCTCTTGTACTCGCCTATCCCAGTTTTTGAGGGCTGCTGCCATGTACCCAGGGTAGTTGTTACGTTGTAGGGTACTACTTATACTGACCAATTCCTTATCTAACGTCTCCGGATCGCCACTTATGACTTTTGCTCGGTGTTGTAAGCATCGGACGATCCCTTTCTTTACGCTGTATGGATGGTGGGAGTCGAAATTGAGGTACTGTCCGGTGAATGTTGGTTTACGATATACGGATGTCTTGAACCCATGCTCTGTTCGAGATATTAGTACATCCAGGAATGGGATCACACATATATCGACAGGATGAGGGCTTAGCAATGGGCTCGCAATTATCACCAGCAATTGTTGTTCTGAATTAGAAAAAGGAAATGACTATTGTTTTCTCTGTTATCAATTTTTTTTTTGTATTTCTTCTTTTTCGATATTTGCAGAAAGCGGAGAAATCAAACCTGGTGAACAGACAAAATGTTGTGCTTGTCATGGTTATATTTGTGGCCTGAAAGGAACGGTATTATAATATTTTTTTTATTTTTTATTTCTCATCTGTTTTCACTTCATCTTTAGTTCGTCATTTCTATCTATCTATCTATCTATCTATCTATCTATCTATCTATCTATCTATCTATCCTAATCTGTTCATTATCTATCTATCTATCTATCTATCTATCTATCTATCTATCTATCTGTAAAAGTAGTAATATTTGTCACTATTAATTGCGATATTATATAACTGTAAGTTATTTATTTTCTCGCCATCTTTAATTGTTCATCACTCTCTCCCCCCCAAACACAGAAATACACGTTTACTTCAAAGAACCAATACAAGGAAAATATAATATATTTTTTGAACTCCAACTACGAAATTTCATTTCTAACTAGAATGTAAATATTAAAGAATTTGATGATATATTAATGTAACAGTAACACTTCAAACCATTTCTCCTTTGCAGAGGAAAAAACAAAATATATTACGAAATGATTCATTAATGGTAGTTATATTAACTTGAATTTTATGACTATTAGTATGTTGCAGGATACTTATGCATAATACTCATTTTTCTAAAAGCAATATCAGAGGTGCGTATTATGCACTACTACAAAAAATTGCCATAAAATAAAATAAGACTTATCATAAAACTAAATTAGAATAATATTATTCTATTTTAAACGATTTTTAAATAAGGGTAGAAAACGTTGGCCGTAATAAAATTGGAGAGGTACAATTTATAGGGTTTCATTACCAAACAAGGGGTATGTGAGCAGAAGCATTTTCCCACACTTTCAGCACTATTTTAACTGTGCGTATTAGGGATGAAGGCGTATTATACATCGGGAATTACAGTATTAATTACCATTATATTGTCGGTATAGACATTGTATATTAAATATCTATAGGCTCCTGGAATATTTATCTCACCAACAATATTGGCGGTCCCAATATGAGTCCAGGTCAAAATAAAAAACAAAAAACAAAACAAAACAATGAATATAAAACAACTGACAATACATGTTACTAACAAAAAGAATTACATGTGTACACATTTGTAATGAAAGGAGAAACACGCTATAAGAAAAATGTGCTTGTTTTGTGTGTGTGTGCGTGCGTGTGTGTGTGTGAGAGAGAGAGACAGAAAGAGAAACAAGCGTGTGTGACAGGCACGTGTGTTTATATGCGTGTGTGAGATTGTTCGAAAGTGAACAGAGGATCAATGAAACGAACGCGCCAAGTCGGCAGCGTTCATCTTTACCGAAGACGACTGCATCTGGAAGCAAAGAATTAAGAGGACTAAAGAGAGAGAGAGCTAAAATATCATTACTTTTTTATAGGCTTAAAAGGCGCCCCCTAGCGACCGCTTTTGAAAATGTCAAATGGGATAACCCACAAATAAAGCATTACTAACCATTATTAACATTTAAATATAATTTCTTTAATCTAAATTTTATTTATTTTATTTATACTACTATTATTCATCGCTATATTTTCTTTATTAAAAGATGAAGCATTGTGAAGTATTATTAATTTTTAACTAGTTTTTTAATCTGGATAATATTAACCTAAATGTTTGTTACAATATCAGATTTTATTATGAACTTCAATATTTTAACTATAAAATTGCTACTAAACAGCCGTTATTAGTAAAACGTTCTGACTCTATTTATATGGATATTATATCATGTGTTTTCGGTTAATAATATCTGTCCGTATCAAATATATTAATAAGAACTTCATTTGAGGATGTTATTTCCTATTGATGGCAGTAGTCGGAGAGTCTGATTAATAGACATGAAAAGCAACTATAATTCACATGAAAGTAATACTGTCCAAACATTAATAACTCTTTATGATAGCTTTAGACAAAAAAAAAAAAAAAAAAAAAAAAAGCTTGTATTTTGCTTTCATCTGTTTCTACAAAAAAAAAAAAAAAGAAAAGAAAAGAAAAAAGAAGCTATCAAATATATAAATAAAAGATAGACAGACAAGATAGATAACAATAATCAGATCAGTTAGGTTTCGGTGTTTTTTTGAGGATTTCTTGTCATTCCAAGAGTCGAAGACACCGTTAATCATACTGTTGGTCGGTTTAAGTGCTAGTCTTGACCTATTCATTCCACTTTCATTCTAAATTGTATCATCTGGACAGAATTGGCTGGAGTGTGTGTGTGTGTGTGGGGGGTGCATTATCATTTCAAGAGATGGACAGACTACTGATATCATTAATTTTAGTGTTTTTTGATTTTAACGCACACACACGTGTTTGTATCTATCTATCTATCTATCTATCTATCTATCTATCTATCTATCTAATGTCAGTAATGTTAACAAAACTTATAACTTATGTAAAATAACACACATATATATATATATAACTTATGTAAAATAACACACACACATATATATATATATATAACTTATGTAAAATAACACACACATATATATATATAACTTATGTAAAATAACACACATATATATCTATATAACTTATGTAAAATAACACACACATATATATATATATATAACTTATGTAAAATAACACACACATATATATATATAAAATATGTAAAATAACACACACACACACACACACACACACACATATACATATATATATATATATATATATATATAAAACTCATTAAAAAAAAGATGAAAAACTTAAATTGAAAACTTCATGCGAACGGGTAATTGCAAGAACGCAAACATCACTTTTAGTTCAATTAAATCCTAATCGGACTAAATGCGTCACACGAACATTTTTTGCACTTGTCATAGATTTTCCTTATATATATATATATATATATATATATATATATATATAATCATTTATTCTTATAAAAATGTTATAAAATCACTACAAAAATAGACATTTTGTTTCAACACTTCTGGTGTCTTATCAAGTGATGCAGTTGAATGTATATATATACATATATATGTATAAAAAAAAGAACGTTAAACATAAAAATGTCTTTAATAAATAAATTGTCGGACTTTGACCATTTCTTAATATATATATGTATATATATATATTGCGAATAAATAAAATATATATATATATATATATATATATATATATATATATATATATATATATATATATATTAAATAAAAACAAAAAGAAAATTTATTTTATTTTGTGGCAATTTTATATTCTTGTATATAAATACTTGTCCCAATATAAAATTATTTCATTTCCTTGATAACCACCGCCCCCACCAGACGACGAAACTCATAAGCTAAGATAATTTTCATCTTCTATCTTCTTGAATCCCCATTCATCATTTGTTCTTTCCTTAATCTGCCCCCACCCCTCTATACTCAGTCTTTTCTGTCACTTCCTGTAAGAGCATGCGTACTAGTCGCATTCCCCGCCTTGCTTGAGGTGAAATCCGTAAAAAATGTTATGGAAGAGAGCTCAATATCAGAGAGAGACCATTTGGGGATATAGACATTGTGGACATGGGTATCAACACTGCATGATAGCTGTCAGGTTCACTCTTCAGGCTTGAATGACTCCTCACAAAACAGCAAAATCAGACCTGATTATTGTGATTTACGCTACCTGACAACTTTTCATTGGTATCTTTTGGCGGTATATATTTGTAGAAATCGTTGAAAGTACGATCCACGTGGCGAGATATATTTGTCTTTAGCTGCCAAAGAAAAGATATGTCTGCCTATAGAACCGATCACCAGGCGCATTTTAAGCGCTGCTGTGACACTTGACCTCCTTCATCGCCGCTGCCGCTTTTACACATGCCTACTGCTGCTGAAGCTTTACTGTCATTTATCGTAGACTAGCAGTAGAGGCCGGCGTTGCCCGGGGATATAACAGTAAGAGATAATTCAAGTATCGACCATCATAAAGACTGAAAAATAAAATTGACAAAGATTATTGTTTAAGGTTGACGGACACGCATGTCTTAATTATTATTTTTTTTTTTTTACGAATTGTTCAAAACCCAAACTGAAACAAAAACATTGTTTTCAATCGTTATGAACTTATGAGTCTACCGATTGAATAGAATTTTATTATAAACAATTGTCTTGTAAATGGAATTTTTAAAGCATTCTGAATGTAAAAAGAAAGAAAAAAGTGTGCAAGACAATAAGAAACACTACCTGCCAAAAAAAAAGTGAAGTTTTGTTGAAATCGGTTGAAAAATGTAGGAAATCCGATCCCATATAAAAACGAACACACACACACACACACACACACACAAAACCCCAAACAACTTGGGTTTTATAATAAGTATAACTCGATATGAGTTGTCCCCCTTTCATTCCGCGAAAGCGATGCCTCTTAATTGTGTTTGCAAATTGATTTCGTTTAAAAACAATTGTGCTTTTCCAATTTTTGGCACTGTCAGAACCACCGCAAGGTAATTTTACGTAGTCCTGTGAAGTTTTGTTGAAATCGGTTGAAAAATGTAGGAAATCCGATCCAATATATAAACGAACAGACACACACACAACCTGGGTTTTATAATAAGTATGATTAGTCTTACCTATCATTTGTTTCCGCATCAGTACTAAAGAATCATTTTACTACAATAGTAACAAACTCTTGCCCGACATAGAGAAGTATTTCAAATACTATATCTATTACTATAAATAAAAGTGTCAGTAAATTTAATAAAAGGTATAACGATAAATAAAATCTAGTGAAACCAATTATTTTTTACATGATCGATTTTCTTTTATTTTATCCAGGTTTGTGGTACAGATGGACTCACTTACAATAACATGTCGGATATGGTGATCAGCGCCTGTGAAAAGAACACGACCATTAAACTAGATTACAGACACAAGTGCGAAAGTAAGAGAGACATAAATGTCTTGTTTTCGTCCCAGTATTGAGAAGAAGCAAAAAACGGTAGCAATTTAATTCTGGCAGTATTACTTCTTATTCGCATCAGATATTTATCAGTTTCAACAATGCTTGATCCGTTCACCACGCCTCCAGCTTATTCGATATTTACTAAATTTAGCTGAAATCAAGTAAAGAAACGTTGTGCCAATCACTCAAATAGTTTTTTTCCCTTGCAAAATGACAATTGACGTCTACATTTTTTTTTTCTTGGCTTAGATGCTGACCTCGGGCAATGATGGAAAACAAATAATTATTCAGGCTTCCAGAATATGCAATAAAATATTAAAACTACGGCAGAATTTTAGCGTACCATCACGACTACCAAAATGGAAAAAATTTGAATATCATCTGTGTCAGCATATAATGATTTCTCATAAATATACATTATGCCTTTAAATTCCTTGAGGAACATAAGGCCGCAATATATTGTTGTAATTTCTGTAACAAGCCAGTTTTTAAGTGAGTAGCCTACTGTACAACCCCTAACATGGAGGATCAGGTTTTGAATTCAGAGTTGTCCTTCTCCTAGACCAGTTGCCACCCAAGGCTATAGAACCCAGTCTGTCCTGCTATTAAAGCATAGAAGTTACGAGAAGAAGAGGATTCATATCTTTCAGGTATTAGCAAGTAAGTGAATGTAATGGATTCGACTGGAATTCGAACTCGGCTCTCCGATTCCTTAATCCGAGCCGCTTTCCATTACTCCACCATGCCTACATTCAGTCAGTGTGTTATGCGTGATACACGCTTAGGCGATAATGTATCTTTCGATCCATGACTGACGAGGCAGATTTTTTCCTCCCGCAGTTGGTTACCATTTCAGTTGCCGGTAGACCAGTTTCCACCCAAGACTATAGAACCCGTTATGTCCTGCTATTAACCAATAGAAGATAGGAGGAGAAGAGGATTCATATCTTTTTTAAGGGTATTAGGCCGTAAGTGAATGTAATGGGTTCGAGTGGAATTAGAACTCGGCTCTCCAATTCCCCAATCCATGCCGCTATCCATTACTCCAGCATAAATGCTTTTTGCCTAATGTTCTCGGGTGTCCCATTGAATAGCGTGTTTGATCGACATTGGGCACCGCATATATGTAGTTGTATGCAAAAATAATTTCCCTTGTTTATGACTTATCATCCCTTTGTGTTTCATTTAAAGTCGAAACATATTTCAGACTGCAAGTGTTTGCTTACAGTAACCGGTATTCCCAAGCGACCTGCCATCTAAATACTAACCGAACATAAAGTTGCTACCTTTCGGCGATCGAACTTGTACTGGTGTTTTCGGCAAGGTTTGGCAGTAGGCATCTAAAACTAAGCTTAGTAAACATTTTTGGCTATTTCGGCATAGTTTAGTACGTTGGGCTGTTTAAAAATTATTAACGAAGATGCCATTCAAAAGATAAGCAAAGTATTAAGAGACAGGAAGAATTTTGTTAGAAACAAACAAAAGAGTACTGAACTGTTACGTAAGATCAGTTCTTCTATATGTCAGTGAAAATTGGGCAATTTCCTTACATATGAAGAAACGTGAAGCAACAGAATTGTGGTTCTACAGAAGGATGTTGAGAATACCATGGAATGAACATGTGAGCAACGACGAAGTTTTAGAGAAAATAGAAACAAAAAGGAATCAGAAAGAGGCAGTTGAAATTTCTCGGGCACATAATGAAAAAGAGGGCTTGGAAAATGTGATGGTGTCTTCCTTCTAATGAGGTTATTATAGACTCTTCCACTTACTATAAAGTAGTAGGAAATTAAGCCTCGGGGGAACAGTGACGTAGACTGTTCATTACCGTCAAACTCTCTGCGTTGAGCAGAGAGGAACCCGGACGAGGCATTGCCGAAGGGCAAAGTTTCGTCCGGGGAGGTAGACACGCCATGAACCCGTTTATACGGGTTCAAAGGGAATATTTTTGGCCGAGCCTACGGGCTCGGAGAACCTTCGATAAACCGGCCTTGGGCCACATACGACCCACGTGGGCGGGGCGGTAAATATAACAGTGATATAGACTGCTCATTACTGTCAAACTCTCTGCGTTGAGCAGAGAGTAACCTGGGAGAGGCTTTGCCGAAGTGAATGCTGGACAATATCCTCAAAGATAAAGAAGATCCTGAAGGAATCAGATAAGTGGTTCTACAGAAAGATGGTGAGAATTACATGGACCGACAAAATTTGAGAAAATAGAAACAAAAAAAAGGATACATATACTTAACATCAGAAAGAGTGAGTTGAAACTTCTAGGGTATATAATGAGGAAAGCATGTTTGGAAAATTTGATACCCACAAGAGAGATTGAAGTCAAGTGTGACAGAGAAACGCAATGCATAACCTACATAGAGAATTCGAGCAAATATATGGCGGAACAAGTTTTAGAAGGGATGAAAAAAAGAAACAATTTTTATTAAAAGCGACAACAGACAGCTGTGGAGAGCCATAATCACCTACGTCCTGTAGAGACACGGCACATAGTAGAATATCTATCTCGAATGAACAGGATGATGGACGCAATGCACTCCGTTTAATAAATACGAATGGGGCGTTGAAACAAGTTAAACAACGTCGAGCCTGGTTGGTACCTAGATCAGTGACCGCTTGACAATAGCAGGTGCTGACACTTTGGATGTGCGGATGGTGCAATAGATATTGGCTTGGAATTTTTAATCAGAGAGACGAGTTTCAATTCCCATTGGACTCTTTATATTCACTTACGTGCAAATACCTTGGGGAAATGAATGAATCCACTTCTTCCGCCAGCTATGAGTTAATTAGTAAGGCCTGCATCACTAAAGAATTATTATCTCGAAGAAAAAAAAAGAAAAAATTTCTTAAAATCTAAAAATGCTTTCTGGGTTTAAATAAACTTTCAAAGGGTTGATAAGCCGTAAAAACAAATAAGAAAAAAGAAAACTCAATTTTTTAAAATACCTTTTCTAGATTAGCATTCATTTGACTCTTTCCTTTACCTAGAAAATTTTCTTAGAAGTGTTAATGTTTTTGTTATTTTAAAATAGGAACCTGTTTATAACATAAATAGAGCGTCAAATCAATCCCTGATTTACTGAAAGAGTACATTTTTATTTATAAAATATCAAATGTGAAGCTTCTTATATCATTGATAACTGCGTATTAACGATATCTTTCTTTTTGTTATCATTTCACCCCTAGCAAGGAAACAAAGCCATTATAATGCAAGGGCTTACTTACTGAGTGTTAGACAATATGACTAAAAGAGAAAAGAACAATAAAAGAACAGGAATTTAGAAGACATTGAAATTAAATTTTTGAAGACCCCAATTGGCCAGAAAGCAAGAAGCCGGAAGAGGGTTTCTCAAAATGAGAAGTGCAAGCGAAGAAACGGTTCCATCTTGCTATTTCAAATGTAAAACTTCCAAATCGTATGCGGTTAGCAATGACGAAAGCACAGATTTAAACTTGACATAAAACAAAGTTTCTGTAATTCTTTAATGACTGGACCTCCCTTTAAGAAATCAGAGATCGAGCTTGACATTCTATTTATATTATGAACAGGACCCCAACCTTCTAAAATGATATATTTAAAAAAAATTCTTACAAATGTTTAGGGTAAAGGAAGGTCCAACAAATTCTAATCTACAAAAATTGTTAAGAAAAATCCCTGTTGTTTTTACAAGGGAACTAGTTAATTTATGTAGTACCCCTTCTTCTCCGCCATCAGTGATCTAGCTTCTCCGCCATCAGTAATCTAGCTTTTCCGCCAATAGGGGTTTAGATTCTGCGCCATCAGGGGTCTAGCTTCTCCGCCATCACTGGTTCAGCTTCTCCGCCATCAGTGGTCTAGGCTTTGAGCCACCAGTGGTCT